ATTCTCATGACACTTTCATGTTTGAACTATGTACTATCACAAATCAATCATGTCTAAATTGTGTATTCTCATGACGCATTCATGTCTGAACTATGTACTATCACAAGTCAATCATGTCTGAATTGTGTATTCTCATGACGCATTCATGTCTGAACTATGTACTATCACAAGTCAATCATGTCTGAATTGTGTATTCTCATGACGCATTCATGTCTGAACTATGTACTATCACAAGTCAATCATGTCTGAATTGTGTATTCTCATGACACATTCATGTCTGAACTATGTACTATCACAAGTCAATCATGTCTGAATTGTGTATTCTCATGACACATTCATGTCTGAGCTATGTACGATCACAAGTCAATCATGTCTGAATTGTGTATTGTCATGACTCAATCATGTCATAATTATGTACATGTCAATCATGCTTGGACTACGTACACTCACGACTTTATTTCACAACAACAAACTCTCATAAGTACTTTACGTCTCAATGATTTATTGTCACATGCATTACAGCTGTAGAATCAACCCAATGCTACAATCGGCATTCTGAGCAGGATCAGCACAATTCCCACGATACATGAGCCAATTGTAGATCCTGGTTAGAATTGGTCTCCAGTAACCCATGGTTCTTGTTACAGGCGTCTAACGGGATCAGGTGGTCGGACTTGCTGACTTGGTTGACACATGGCATCAGTTCGTAATTGCGTGGATCGATGCTCATGATGTTGATCACTTGTCAGGTCCAGACTTGATTATTTACAGACCGCCTCCATATTGCTGAAATACTGTATAAGACAAAGTATCATGGATGTCAACTTCTTCTTTATTCTATTTTATTTGTGTACACAATAAAGAAGAAGTTGACGTCCATAATATTTTGTCCAACGCGTGAATACCAACTTCTATATGCCTCTCAAGAACCTGAACTATTGTGGCTGAAATACTGCGGCGTTAAACAACAATCAATCAACTGTTGGATATATCGCTTATGGTCTATAACATTTAACAACGTAATTTACTTATTATTTCCATTGAAGTGTTGTGTGAAAGAGTCGGTACAGTGACGTAGAGGTGGCCGTTATATGATACTTCCAGGTGCCACTGGGTCACTTATGTATGAAAGCTTGTGAGGATGACCCCATCATGACAGCAAAATACAACAGCTTCCAGACGTCGTATGTGTCTATCGTGGATGCTAGATATGTAAATGTCTGCTCACTCAGACGAAATAGTCTCCACACTCTATCTCAACAACGGCATCGTTTTCATCCCTCTTAGAGTGAGTGAGTGAGTTAAGATTTAACGTCACATCGGCAATATTGCAGCCATATCGTGACGATCATCCCTCTTAGAAAAACAAAGTCATTGCTTATACTTTTTGAGGTGTAACAGTAAATACACTTACGGTTCAGGTGATTGCAAGTGTTGTTCCACGAACATTGTATTTGAAATGACTGTTCAGTCTGAGATATCTGAAACAGCCATAAAATGAGTACATGCTATGTCCTTTATACACACAGGAGTATGTTCTAATGTTGTGTTTTATCCGTGAACACTATGACAGGGTGGTTTTGTCAGTAGTCGAGAACCAGACCGGGGAAATAACAAAGGTTACAGAACATAGGCTGTGCCATCCGATCATCACATGGTGACCAATGCGACACATGGTGACCAATGACCAAAGAAAGACCAGAAACATGACGAATATTTTACTGTAATAAATATGCATCAGAATGGTACAAATGAGTTTGTCATAACCTTGTGCTTGAGTGTCTGATAACAGAATATTCGATCACGCGGGGTTGACGACTGAACATCACACGTCGTGATTGTCTGTTGAGGACAGTCAATCCTGGCACTACTACTGTGCTTAGTTCTATCTTATAATGTCGCCGGTATAAGAATAAAATATCGCATCATGATCCAATACGTGTGGGTCAAGTATGGAGGGAGAATTTCTGGTAATTGCTAACAGTACTGCCTTGAACTCCAAACTGTTTCATTTGTCTGCAGACCAATATCCTGTTTTTGCTCATCCAGAAGGTGTGCACCCAAACCAACGGTCGGATCGTCGACGAACAAGTGGTGGGACGATGCAAATGGCATCATGAAGATTTCTGCAAAGACATTTCACTCCTCAGCACTGGTGATGTTTGTGTAATGGTGTTGGAAGATGAATCATGACTGGAATTGTGCATTCACCAGCCACCACAGTGAACCAAACAACGGCTTTGTGAATTCGATATGCTTCTCAAATATAATATGATCAGTGTCCTTCCATGTGGTCGATGTAGCTTCAAAGACTATCCCTTGACGACGAAGGAACCTTCTGACTGGTTTTGAGATGCTGCTGGGTAACCACGTGGATTCAATCTATAGCGAATCTCTTTGATAATGCAGCCAAAGTACTGCCGATGCTCCTCGTCAAATGGTACATATGCGTCTTGTAATTTGAGACTGATCACGTAGTCTCCTGGTCGAATGGTAATGTGAAGCAAAGTGACAGATATTGATACTGTTAAACTTGTTATTCATTACATCTCTTATTAGAATGGTGGCTGTGATCCATGTGATCCTCACTCGAAAGATGGTATAGATCTGGATCAGCCAAAGTTAAGTATTGTGATCCCGTAAGCGTGTATGTTGATACCGAGCCGGGCCAAGCCTGAGATACTCTCACCCTTGCAGAAGGGAAACGATGTTCAGTATCCTTACCTGGAAATATAGACGGGTGATCTGTATTCCGTTTCTGACATGTAAAGTTGAAAGTTACTCCGAGAGACATTAACTTTCACACTGCACTGGCAACGACAGTCGCAACGTATGGCGTGAAGTGCCTACTTTCCACGTCAAATAGGACCTAATTTATTGTACATAGTGACCTATGTTTTTGTGTTTAATGATACAGACAACAAAAACCCCCAAAATAGTTCAAAACACGTCTCCACCTCCAAGCTATAAGAGAGAGAATGGTATGCTCTAAACGCCATGTTATCAAGTCGTGCGAAATCAGCTATTGTTATACCCTTTGTTATTTGGTGGTGTCCATTATAAAGACTACAGATTGTTTGGGCGAGGTGCTTTTGGAAGCAGACAAACCTGTTTTTTGCACCAGAAAAAAAGATATGTGTGGTACATGATAATATTTTACCTGAAATCCGCCTCTCCATCGGGAAGATTTTGGATCAGTCGTGTTGACACTGGCAAAGAAACCCGTCGCCTGCTTTCGCCAAATATTCAGATGTTATAATACATAAACGGTAGTGATGTATGGCAATAATCTGTTGACCATCAACGGTATTCAAGGACGATAGGGGTCAAGTTGGTGAAGGTCAAGACTCCTCGCTAGCCATGGAATTCTAGGGATGTTGTGATGCTGGAGGTGAGCAATGGCGTCCTGAAAGACCAAACATCGCCACTCGGGGAATGCAACTCGGACAACAAATGATGTCAGTATGCTGTCCTATTTACATGTGATCCATATGTCTATCTAAGAAGGGGAGTATATTCCACAGAAATATTTGTGTCACCCTACAAGGGAATACTTATCAGATTTTTATCATCAGAAGACGCATCTTTTCATGTAAAATTAGCCCTATTTTAAATATATTCGTTGACATTAAGGAAGAGTCTGATTTCTTCTGGCAGCTAATTTCACAATGTTATTATGCTTTCCACTATTTGCAGAGTCCATACTTTTCATGTCATTATTATAAGGGTAAATGCTATTTTTAGGGCATTATCATTTGCAGAAGTCCTAGGTCTGCCCGACGAAGGAGGGCAGTTGAAAAAGACCGAGGGCTTCTGCAATTGATAATGCCCTAAGAAATAGCATGACCGTTATTATTGCTAAAATACATGGAATTGGTGTTGAAAAGAAAAAAGGAAACAATGAAGGAATTTGAAAACCAACTTCTTATGGGGTTGACTGCCCGAATGCAATTACGTCATCTTACAATTCAAGTGACATCACAACAGAAAGTGACGATATTCGACATTGGCCTTTGACAAGACCATAGCCTGCAACATGTCAAACTATGTCAGACACAACGTCAGTTTTCAGTGTTCGGTTTTGGTCCAACAACAACGTTAATAGTGCAATTGTTAAGGTTAGAACCAGCAAGAAAGCCAATATTACCGCTATCTAAAGCAGGAATTCGGGTGGCTTTGACTTGTTTGCCCGAGAATATCTGCCAGTCCAAAGCCAATGCCGAATGAACTGTAAGCCCACGCACCCACTATGACGCCACTTGACAACAGAACTGATAGTGGCCCGTCGTTAAGGTTGAGCGGTCCAATATCATTTGCAGCGACCCGCAAATTTCTGCTAATAGGAGGACCGTTTCATGATAATTCCATGTATTTTAGCTATAAAATACTATATGTACGGGCAGGAGGTCTAAGTACAAAAAATTATCTTCATCTTGATACTGATCTGTGAAAGTACAGTCTCCTTATTTCAGTTATGTTCCCCTAACTTTGAATTCTTTCTTGAAATTTCAAGTTCCTGATACAAACTAAACTAACGAGAAAGTGATAGAAATTACGAAAATATAACCGAAGTAACAAAGTCGAGAGAAATATAGAGAAATTTCGATTTTACAAAATACGATACCAATATGGCCCCATTAGGCTTCCGTAGATAGCGCGGCAAATAAAGGAAATGTGTCTTTGTTGAATTTTGAATTTTGATTTTTTGTAAGAGCTATGCGATAACGCGAACATGCTATGCATGTAGCATTCTAGGTTATTGACCTGGAAGCCGATGGCCTGTCTAACAGTCTCTTAACCGTATTATCTGCCCACTCAGCTATAGTCCTAAATGAACCAATACTAAATGTCCCATCTCGATTGGTTTCCTTTTCAGTTCAACGTAAATAAACGGTTTGAGTTATATAAGTTGTTTGTTTCTATGGCAACATCATCCTATGCCCAGTAGGGACTGGGCGTTAGTCTAGGGAGATGACTGTACACACCAGTAGTTAAACAATATGGCGACAGTAAGACTCACATACTTTGATGGCCGTGGACTAGGTGAAATTGTGCGATTCATACTTGCAGCATGTGGCATTGAGGTATGTTCATTTGTGATATGCGATTACTTTGCCTCATATTCCTGAAATTTGTTATATACGTTCCCGCTAAAGAATGATGTGGACTGAAATACAGAGCATCCGCTGATAGGGTGGAAATATACATATCGGCCATAGAGGGGAGGGTTGACCGAGTTGTCGCATGTGATCAACACAGCGCCTTGCATAATAATGCAGAACCGTAAATCAAAGCAAGGTGATCCATGCACATGGTTAATAACCTACTGCATAAACATCTCTGTCTTAACTACATTATAGGTCAAAGGATTTAAATATGTTTTATTTTTACGCCGCCTTTTTTTCCCAGCAATATCACCTCGGGGAACGACAGAAATTTGCTTTACTCATTGTACCCACGAGGGGAATCGAACCCGGGTCTTGGGCGTGCCGAGCTAGCGCTTTAAACACAAGGCTACCCCACCGACCCTCATTCGCCTGGAGAACATGTAACAATATACATGAATATTGCATATTATTTTTAGTAAAAACATGCTAAACATGTTTTGTGCAGTAACAAATATATATAGTTATATATATAAATAGTGAATCTATTTCCTATTGACAGCATGTCTCCACATACATAGATTAACAGGGAAGACTATGTGTTAACGGGGATCGGGCGACTGCCCAGCGTGCCCATGCCTAACACACCAGCCGTTTAACGGTTAATGATCGCCATATAAGCTCCATTGGGCAGAAGATCTAGTGTCAAGATTGAATAATGAGTGCTGTAATGTTTTTTACAGAAAATATCCAATAGAAACGTTCCTATAAAGTTGCATCTGTCACGTTATAGTTTTCAGCAACCCGTGCTAAGTATTTTCAGCTCAGAGGAGGACGAAATACATTTTGAAGGCAATTTGACGTTACCATTAATTCAAGGTTTCTTTCAGTTCACCGAAACTTTACTCCAAGAGAGACAAGAGTATGAAAAGTTACTGGAAGGTAATCATGTTTATTCTCCCAGAAATTAGTAGCCTTGCTAATTATAAAGTAGTGTCAATGTTGGTAAGTAAGTATATTCCACCGTTCGTCTGACCAATATTTATCATACAAATTCATTGGCGAAACCAATACCCGGTAGTAGTGGCTGAGAGGCAGGCCCAGAAGATAGTAGTGTTCATTTACAATGTCAGTATCGGGTGTCATTACCAATTACACGGACGCGACAGAGCATTGATGCCACCAGATACTTAAGAACAGCCGTGAGGATGCTGTTCCAAATATCACCCAAAACATGCCACAATTGAGCTAGAATCGGTTGTTTCAGGTTCTGTCGTTGATGCCGATCAGTCTCGCCCCAGACATGTTTCATGGGCAAGAGAACATCTAATAATAGTCCATTTATATTGCGCATTTATCCATGCACATTGCATGCTCAAAGCGCGGACATATTACCCCTGGTCAACAAACAGAGAACATTCCCTGTGGAGTATACAACCTGTCGCCTTTCAGGCGCCAAAGGTTCAAATTCAGACTACCATCTTATCATACCAGGTACCCAACGTACCGCTGGGTGGACAGAGGCAATTTTGAACAAATTGCCTTAGGTGAGACCACATGTATCACATGTGCTTCTTTGTTGGACGGGACGGAAGTCCTGGAAACTCTCAGGAGTCTCAGCTGCCAAACGCGGTCACCCACACAAAGACTCTCCACACCCAACGTTGTTTAACTTCAACTGATTGTGACCTGAGCACCACACAGGACCATACACCACACCACCGACACATGGCGTCTCTGTATTTACATGAAGAGTAGAACACGACGCTGGCAACGTATTCAAATTGTAATTAAAAGCGATGATACACTGCAATCAGAGTTGTATGAAGCTATGGGTGTCCAGAGCAAAAGGGGAGTATCGCTTTACGGAGCGTATGTTGAGATCCCTCCACCGGTTGCATACGGTTGTGCCACTAACTGGGCTCAACCCAGGAATTGTTTGAACTGTTGTATCCGTAGATGCACCAACTGTATATGGTTGTCTGGTTGGAGTAACCGGCTTTTGGCAAGTCGTGTGTGTTTCTCTCCTGGAGATAACGTCACCACAGAGATGGTATTATGAACATCAAAACTTAGACCTGCTGCTTTTCAGCAAACCATAGGCGCAATATTTGTGAACTATGACCTTAAAGTCGAGGAGACCACTTCATCCAGTATTTGACTTATCCCACTGTACAGATACATGAATTTGGAATGACTGAAATGAAATGAAAGTATAAACGTAATTATACATCTGCATTATATTTGCATATAAAAATGTGATATCTATATGCTACATGTATGTTTGTTACAGATGGGAAACTGGAGTTTTATCAGGTGCCTCTGTTGGAGATTGATGGGCTGGAGTTGGTGCAAACTGGTGCCATTGTAAGATACGTGGCCAGGAAGGGAGGATTGTATGGACACTCCAATGCAGAACAATCTAAGTGAGATTGAACATACGATCCTTCAAAATTCTTCAAAGGCATATTTACAATTAAGTTCCGACACAGTCCTGTGTATGATAAACATTACATTACGAACCACACCATAAGTGGTCAGAGGAAGACTTACCGCTCGTCAATACATTTGCAGTCCCCGGAACATGCTCACAAAATCCCAAATCCCGACGAATGGTTTTATTTTGAACAGTTTAAAATAACTTCCGTGACAGATATAGAAAAGTTAAATATCCAGTTTTGACTACAGCGTAATTTGTAAACCTTCCCATATATATAATGAACGCAATGAATACTCAATCGAATTAAACGATGGACACTTGTTAAATTTAACTTCAAAATGGAAGTAGTGTGTGTATTGTTATGAGAATAGATGAGTATCATACTGCTATCAATCAGGTAATAATAACAATAATAACTCTACCTGAAAGTTGTCGCCATTGGTAAACAAGTGCTTGAAAAGAAATGTGAAAGGTCTGGATTTGATTCATCTGCTGTCGCATTGTCTTCCCAAATGTGTTTTCGATCCGTCTGAAGTCTGGGGAACTATGCATCTATAAAATTAGCTCCCTGTTACAGTTTTGTGTTTAGAGATGTCTTAGTCCTAAATGACAAGCTTCCGAATATAGTATGTACTATGTATACGCTGAATGTATGCACTAAATAGGAAGAAATTTGAAGTTTTAATTATTTTTTCAGGATTGACATGTTCTACGAAGGAACTCGTGACTTTTTCGACAGCTTTCACTTAATGGTCTTCCAGGATCCAAAGGAGGTGTTAGCAAAAGCCAAAGCTAAAGGTCTTCCCCGTTATCTGCCAGTCTTTGACCAGGTTAGATGTACATATACTTTGTGTTGTTGGTGATAACCCTAATTTCATGATTCTGGGGAATAAGAAATAGAGAACATTGATAACCCCAACCCATTGTATTGTTGTGTCATAACACACATACGCTCAAATAACGTGCACCTATTGTTTACATCGAAGAGAAAGAAATAACACAGACATACACTTCTACTGAGACATATCACACTATATTTTAAAATATATTATCTGAGAATACGAAACGTGTTCGAAATCTCGCGTTAGATCCCGGTAACGCTGACATAGAATTTGCTGTGATTGGTAGAATGGATGTAGATGGAATGTTCCCCTGAATTATAAGTCTCCAAACCAGGCATATGCTTGAGTGTATCCAGGCTGAACATAACACAACCGCTGGTGTAATGTAATATGGCTTACAATATATCTTCTTTGAGAGGCATTTTAGAAGTTGTGAAGATGAAGGAAAACTAAGTTCTATGGATAGTCAACTTCTTTATTGCAATGAGTGCGACGTTTCGGTGTTAGTACCTACACCGAAACGTCGCACTCATTGCAATAAAGAAATTGACTATCCATAGAACTTAGTTTTCCTTACAATATATCCATAAATATTTCCATAAAGTTGTTCTAGAAGCTTCCAGATTATATTTGAATCCATCTCTGAAAAGGCAACTTCCACACCACTGACCTCTGCTGCATCCAAACAGAAATAACATTATGCAATCCGACTCCTTTTTCTAACTAGGCCCTGAAAAAGAATGGGACAGGTTTTCTGGTTGGCGACTCTATGAGCCTGGCTGATGTTAGCCTGATTGAGCTCCTGCTCATTGTGACGGAATACTTCGGAGAGGAAACACTCTCAGACTACCCGTCACTGAAGGTCAGTCCTCGCCGTGTGTGGGTGTGTGGGTGTGTGACTTGGATTTAAGGCCGTTATTTCAGTTACATATCAGCTAGGTGTCAACACACGTGATCAAGATGGTGGTTTGTTATGAAAGGATATCCGCACCTGGAGTCTACTGATGGTGTTATCATTGCTCTACCTGGTCTACGGGACACGTTGCACCATGACAGAATATGGTGTTATGAAATATCACAAAGCCTTTCTCTCGATGCACATTAAGGTTTCACCCATCAAGAAATTTAAGGCAGCCACACATTTACTTTATAATATTTGATACGCACAGTGTTACTTGTCGATTTCCAAAATGAAACAATATGTTATGTTAGAGAATGTACAAGCAAATAAATACAGTGTGAAACAACATGAACGAAATGCCATACAATTAAAGAATCGTAGTCCAAAACTGACTGGTTGTATCAAACATTACAAATTACGTATCTTAAGTATGTTAAATCTTCGTGTGAACATAGCCCAGACAAATATAGGATACGTGTACTTACTCCCAGAAGTACTGGTATCTATTCTTAATACCCCACAGTCATATAAACTAGAATGTAATAATGTGTGTTATCGTGTCCTTCTACTCCACTGTTGTACTTCAGGCTTTCAAATCAATGATGGTCTCACAGGAAAGGATTGCTGCTTTTCTGAAAGGCCCCCAGAGGAAGGGAGCCAACACGGATGCTTATGTCGCAACATGCAGGACGGTCTTGAAGTTGGACATTTAGGATAAACGTACTATATGCAACATCCCAAGTGTCTATAAGTAGAGACTGGCTAGGGCGTGGCGTTTCTATCCTGTCTAGAAAATACGAATCATGCCTGTACAAATGTACAAAGAATGTTTAAACCAAAATCGGTGTCACACGATTGCACTCTTGCCTCAGATCATCGACCAGTTTAACTGATTAGATGTAACAGAGAAAGTCTTCGAATGAGATGTGAATTATTTCGTTTGAACTCGTTGTTTCATGGGTACTAATCAAGACTTAAAACCGATATCTTAGCCTTCCAAAGCTAGGGGTGTGTACAATCAAGAATCTATAACCAAGAGTATTGAATGGTCTAGATCTTATCTGATCTTTTAAGAGCGTAGCTAGAGTATGGCATACTTATTTTAAACGCTATGGTGTAAACAGTGAATTTTGTCTAATAGTGAAAAGTTGTTTTGTTTTTTTAAATTCTATCAAATTATCTCAGTTAGTGTATATGGTATACGTCATGGATATACAAGGTATTCACCTTTCAAAACAACAAAAGTAGGCTTTGGTATGCTGTAGTTCATATCTAATACAGCGCTACATTCATGGACATTCGAAATACTGCTATACCTGTAGTATCCCTAAAATGCTTCTCGGTAGAATCTGCTGTTTTGGATAATTGAAATGCAGACATATCTTATACCGGACAAAATGACGTCAGCAAGTGGTAATTCCTAGTGGTATTGCTAAGTGCAAGACAGAACAATCTATATCCTAGTCATAAAATTATTTTGTTGGCTGAAATTGTCTAGAAAAATGAAATAGACATTGATGCTTCCTGAAATACGTTAAAGGAAAATAAACTATGTTCAATTCCCAATATGTTCAGTTGTTACTCGGACTGGTAAAACTGCCTGGACACTATATACACAGAATCAGTGGCGTGTGTATTTAGTCATCGTTGTAAACTTCAGTCATAAAAGTCAAAACCAAACATTCATCAATGTCAACATCAATATCAAATGTTCATCAATATTCATCAATTCATCAACCGATCATATCGTCAGATTGGTCATACGGCACCTGTGCAAGACAACAGAACAAAACAGAGTTTATTACGTATGTTTTGGTTATGAGACCAATAGTACAGTGATCATAACATTTATATTGGTGCAATTAACAGAGCGCTTAGTGGTTTACACAATATCTAAACTTAAACATTTTTTCACAAAAAGAGCTAGCTTAAATAACAGTTCATCATTGTGTGTAGTGTAGTAATTAAGGATATAAACGTATACATTGATGTGCAGTTGTAATAATAATAGACATATTAGCATTACATGGTATTCATCTTCTTCCCCTGACATACAAAATTGACATAAAGCGTCAGTAAAATCTTGATCTATTGATTTTACAATCATTTGAGCATCTAAACTTCGTTAAAGCTTTTCTTACATTTGATGGTTGAATTGCCCTTTGTCAGATTGCAGAAGAGATTTAAAAGTCCAATACATTCTTAGATTAGATGAAGCAGAAATAGAAGTAAACCGATCTTGAGTGAAAACATCCATCAGTCTCAATTTAAATGTTTGAATGAATATTTTATAATCCCGGAAGGTATTTGAAATATTGAAACCATTCATATGGAAATACACCCTGAGTTGATTGGTGTTGATTTTGAGAGAATCTCTTTACTAGTCTCCAAAACTATTGATTTCAGCTTCAGAAATGCCATGCATAACTTTTTTTATATTAACTTTTCTTCTGCTGGCGTATGCTTTTAAAATATATTCTTCAATTTGATCTTTTCTGTAAGATGTTCACTATTGTCTGTTTTCCTTAAAATTTGCAGAACATTATATTGAGTTTTTTATTTGCATTTTGACAGGGTTGTCAAACCAACTAGGTTGTTGTCTATGTTGTGTTTTCTTGTTATGTATATCAGTAGGAAAGCCTATACTGATCTACAGCTTGGAAGGCGTTTAGAGTCAGGGATTCACTTCCAACGATGAAGGATTTAATATCACTAGACAGGCCGGATGACACTACACAATAGCCGATTACTCTGCAACCCTGGGATCCGATGAACGTATATTCTAGCGGGAGATAGGTAGTTTCGTCATTAAGGATGAACTCTTGCATTTGGCCAATCCGTGCATTACAGTCACCAAGCAAAACCATTTTGCAATCACTGTAAGCATTTTGACCGTGGTCCTGAATAAATCCGGAATACCGAAAAGTACACAGTCCTCCAATTCCCCATGGACTCTTCTGAAGTGATTGCTAATTTTATCTCAAATATAAACGGATATTTCTCCGCTATGTATCTAACTTTCTTATGTACTTATTTTACGAATACTCTGGAACGTTGCATATGCTGGTAAAATATTATTGAAAGTCTGTATCGGTTTTTACACGTCTCAACAGGTGCAAAAATATTTTGTGTGCATAAAATCATCTTTAGTACCTCAAAGTAGTTCAGTATCTTTAGATATAGGTCATTAATGTTCTAACATAAGATGGAGATATCACTAATTTGATTGGGCGTGATTGATCGTTGTTTCCATAGCGATGACGTTGTATCCCTGTTTCGTTGGTCTCGGTCGTATCCTTATTTCGTGTTTACATATGCAGTATCTTCCTGGTTACTTCCCCTTGTCGGCTGGTTACTTCCCCTTGGCGGCTGGTTACTTCCCCTTGTCGGCTGTGTATGAGGTTGTCCTACTCGAATCAGTTTATTGTTATCACTGTCATATTTGTAGACACAATCAGCTGCTATAAGTTTATCGTAGCAATAGAAGTAATAAACACACGATCACTGTCACTTGAAATTGGCATTTTATCAGACCTTTACTGAATCGAATAGACTGGAGTGCTAATCTCTGCTCCTTTGCACATGCACGAACAGTCAAACTTTTATCCTCCATGCTTGTAATGAGATACCCATGTTAATTTGTGATGAACAGTTTCATACACGTTCACCCATCCGCCATTGTAGGTGGTGCAAGATAACAGTTTTTGTGTGTCCTCCCACACAAAACATGTGTCCTATAGCATGCCACGCGTGGTTTGTCATGAAGGCTTTTAAAAACACTTCTCAGAGTCACAACACAATAAGCTTGAAATCGTCTTCATTCGAGGTTTTCAAGCCCAATATACGGACAGACATTTTATTTTAGTCTCACCTCATACAAGTTAAGACATATATACAAATCAAATAATAAAATACATGTGATGAGCCATCCATTATGGGATTATGAGAGACTATAAAAAACTATAAACATGAACATAAAATATACAATACAAAGATGTATACATTAGTAAAAAGCATATGGTCTAAACATGTGTTTTTAAAGCATTGTAAGGTATTAGGTATATTAAAGAGATTTTCTAACATCTAAAACATCCATGCAGGTTTTAGCAGAAATTCTAAAAATATATGGGCTTGACATAATAAGCATCAGACATGTGATGAAAACCAGCATTTAAAGTTGAACACAAAGATAACAAATTGTAACATTTTTGTACAGGGGCAATGTAAAAGTACGTGTGCTTCATTCTCTACATCATCTTTACAATTAAAGCCAACTCTTTCTTCTAAGGGTTTGTTGTTGTATTGTTGTCTCCACGACAGTTTGACAGACCGGGGTGTCCAACTCATATCACCCTCAACTGCAGCGTTAGGAGCCGATTTGCGAAAACCCATAAAAAAATTTCATTGCTCTGTTCTGTATAGTCTTGACTGAAGTTTGGTTTCTGGTCCCCCATATAGCTGACCTGTACTCAGTCGTAGACCACACCATCGTGTCGTTCAATTTGGTATATGTATTTTTATGCATTCCTCCAATCGACTTGAATTTTGAGATGAGCAGTCCCAGTGCGCGCGTGGCAGAATTGATACAGCTTTCTCGATACGTGAATAGTCTAAAAACTCTATAATCAGGAGTCTAATGCCCCGGGATCATGAAACAAGCTTAAGTCTAACATTTGCTTAGCACAAAAAATCTAAAAAGTCTAAAAAGTCTAAAAAGATTTGCTTAGCTAAGATTTTAGATAAGACTGGACCATAAACTATCTCAGCAAAATCTTAGCTAAGACTAAGACATTTATCATGGCAATTTTAGAATGATGTAATCATGTCCTGTCACTCTTAATTAACTGAGGAGAATAGTTTAGTAGCAGGCTCCTGCTGAAATGTTCCAAACAAGTCAACTGACACTTTTATCCCTGCCGCGGTGAATTTTAGTGTCTTTACAGTTGGGATGTTTTCGAAATTACACCAACTCCTAAGTGCGCTTTCTGCCATATTGCATTGGATAGTGTTTACAAAATCACTAAGAACAAATTTACATATCAGATAGGGCCATCCAAATCGCTTTTAGGTGCTTTCTCACGTAGTACATTGTCATCTGTTCTTATATATTGTATCCGCTCACATTGTACTGGAATAGTTTGGTTCACGGTTAACAAAAGATAGCGAAAATATAGCGTCCGTATCCACAACAGATTCTCTCCAAGTTATCTGAGTTACATCGACCTTGTGTTAAGCATAGCGGAGTTATGTACCTTTATCTTGCATAACCTCTCAGTCGTCGTTTGACGTCAAACAATAAAATCCATTTTTGACATTTATTGCGAGTCATTTTTAATGTTGATCGTATAACGTTATGAGAGAGAGAGTTTTATTCAGTAAAAGGGGCCACAGGCCCATTATACATCAGGTGTACAGAATATACAATCATTAGAGCACCCTACAACATCATGAGAGCTGCACAATTATACATTTGTGGGTACGAAGACTGAAAGAAATTTATTTCGTTTTTTCATGGCAAAAAGTAGATATTTTGCAAGACAATTTATAATATAAGTATTCTTTGATGTAAACAACTGAGCTAATTTCACTTCAGATGGATACATGTGATAATATTTAGGGAGGATATCATTTTTTAATTTCCCATAAAAAGGGCATTCCAGGCAAACGTGATATTCATTTTCTATGTTAGGTATGATACAAAGCGGGCACAGGCTATCCTCCCTTTTAAGACCTAAATGTCTACCGTACTCTATCATCAAATTGTGGTTTGAGCAACGAAATCTACTTAAGAAGATTCGAAACTGTTTTACCCTAACTCTATCGATATAGAACTCAAAAGCTATACCTTCTTTGAGCCTGCGATGAAAATCCAATTTCGAAACACGTATAATACGAGATGACCACAACTGGTTATCTATATCAATACATCTTTGCTTAAATAATGATATGAAAGTAGAGATCGGATATTTCCAACACTTTGACTGGCCCACACATTGCCAAAACTATAACTGTACAAAAGAGATTTCACCTTAAAAGCCCAACAATCTATACCTTTTTCAGCAAGACAATACTAATACTCATATACCTTATTTAAGATTACATTCTCAACTTGAGACAGGAGGCGAACCCAATATTTAACAATCTTTATGTACTGATTTACCTTTAATGAATGACGACCAATCTCAGCACGCGCTGCAATATTTGGCGTGTATCTTGAAAGACCCAAAACCTGTTTACAGAACCTATCGTGTACATTCAATACAGATGGCGACGGGTGGAAAACCCAGACTTCACTTCCGTATAGTAACAATGGCAAAACCTTGACATCAAATATATGGAGCAGAACATTAATTGGTAGATTATAAAATTCTTAACCGATGATTTGAAAATATTCAACACCTTCCATGCTTGGTCAGCCAAAGTCTAAATTGATACCCCTCTGACCATCAGCAGAAAGACATTCAACAATGTCGTTGACAAAGAAAACGGTATGTAACCATTTCTCATCGACAAACAAGCTTTAACATTTTGGTACATATTTTTCAATAGCCTGTAGGTATTACCTTTCACATTGCCAAGCCACAGTTTGTAAAGGAGACCACACCTATCGACTGAGTCAAAAGCGGCCTTCAAGTCGATAAATGCACAATAGAGGCGACCTTTGTAAAGTGAAAGATATTTATCAATTTTAGCATTAAGAATGAATATATTATCATATGTTTGGAAACCATACTTGAACCCAGCTTGCTCGTCAACGAAGAATTATTCCCTTTCAGCCAAAGAGTTTAACCTGTTGTTGATAATTTTACAAAATATTTTACCAGTTACTTCAAGCAGTGTAATAGGTCTATAATTCAAAGGGCAATCAGTTTTACCTTTCTTATACAAAGGACTTAAAACTCCATACGTCCACTGAGATGGATAAATACCTGTAGACAAAATGCTATTAAAAAGAGATTTCAATAAATCAATACAATGATGAGGTGCATTTTTAAAAAATTCAGATGTGTATGCCAGTTTAATGCCGTCCTTACTGTTATAGGCGTGTCCTAATACAATACAATCTATCTATGGAATAATGGTCAGATGTGTATGCCAGTTTAGTGTCGCCCTTATTGTTGAAGGCGTGATGTCCTAATACAATACAATCTATCTATGGAATAATGGTCAGATGTGTATGCCAGTTTAATGTCGTCCTTACTGTTACAGTCGTGTCCTAACACAATACAATCTATCTATGGAATAATGGTCAGATGTGCATGCCAGTTTAGTGTTGTTCTTACTATCGTACATGTGTCCTAACACAATACAATCTATCTGTGTCGTTCTTACTGTTATAGGCGTGTCCTAACACCGTACAATCTGTCTGTGTCGTCCTTATTGTTATAGGCGTGTCCTAACACAACACAATCTATCTATGAAATAATGGTCAGATGTGTATGCCAGGTTAGTGTCGTCCTTACTGTTATAGGCGTGTCCTAATACAATACAATCTATCCGTGTCGTCCTTACTGTTATAGGCGTGTCCTAATACAATACAATCTATCTATGGAATAATGGTCAGATGTGTATGCCAGGTTAGTGTCCTCCTAACTATTATAGGCGTGTCCTAACACAATACAATCTATCTATGGAATAATGGTCTGATGTGTATGCCAGTTTAGTGTCGTTCTTACTATCGTACATGTGTCCTAACACAATATATCTGTGTCGTCCTTACTGTTATAGGCGTGTCCTCACACAATACAATCTATCCGTGTCGTCCTTACTGTTATAGACGTGTCCTAACACAATACAATCTATCTATGAAATAATGGTCAGATGTGTATGCCAGTTTAGTGTCGTCCTTACTGTTGAAGGCGTGGTGTCCTAATACAATACAATCTATGTATGATATAATGGTCAGATGTGTATGCCAGTTTAGTGTCGTCCTTACTGTTGAAGGCGTGGTGTCCTAATACCATACAATCTATCTATGATATAATGGTCAGCTGTGTATGCCAGTTTAAGGTCGTCCTTACTGTTGAAGGCGTGGTGTCCTAATACAATACAATCTATCCGTGTCGTCCTTACTGTTATAGGCGTGTCCTAATACAATACAATCTATCTATGATATAATGGTCAGATGTGTATGCCTGTTTAGTGTCGTCCTTACTGTTGAAGGCGTGGTGTGCTAATACAATACAATCTATCTGTGTCGTCCTTACTGTTATAGGCGTGTCCTAATACAATACAATCTATCTTTGGAATAATGGTCAGATGTGTATGCCAGGTTAGTATCCTCCTTACTGTTGTAGGCGTGTCCTAACACAATACAATCTATCTATGAAATAATGGTCAGATGTGTTTGCCAGTTTAGTGTCGTCCTTACTGTTGAAGGCGTGGTGCCCTAATACAATACAATCTATCTATGGTATAATGGTCAGATGTGTATGCCTGTTTAGTGTCGCCCTTACTGTTGAAGGCGTGGTGTCCTAATACAATACAATCTATCTATGATATAATGGTCAGATGTGTATGCCAGTTTAGTGTCGTCCTTACTGTTGAAGGCGTGGTGTCCTAATACAATACAATCTATGTATGGTATAATGGTCAGATGTGTATGCCAGTTTAGTGTCGTCCTTACTGTTATAGGCGTGTCCTAATACAATACAATCTATCTATGGAATAATGGTCAGACGTGTATGCCAGTTTAGTGTCGTCCTTACTGTTATAGGCGTGTCCTAATACAATACAATATATCTGTGTCGTCCTTACTGTTATAGGCGTGTCCTGACACAATACAATCTATCTATGGAATAATGGTCAGATGTTTATGCCATTTGTTTATTGCACAGAGGTATTTGTTGTTTTCACACCTGGCGGCCTCATCCACTCCTGGCCCACCTGGCCTCATCCATTCATGTACAACTTGCTATTCTGTAACATGTGGTTGTTAATGTTAATCTGATAGTTGTCACAACAAACTGTACATATATGCTTTCCAACATTTGGCTGTAGTCACGTTCAGCTTGAACACGGTGTAAGAACGTGAACCTATACCCAAACTTCGCTCTATGCAGTACACAGATGTGTTATCCATAAGGTTGAAAGCTCTATCTTCTATCTTAGGATAGATTTAAAATGCAGTGCTACAGATAACTTTTTGGGTCATTGAGTTATGTACTCGCTTGTGTTGATCTCAATTGGGTATCCAAATTTTCCTTTCAGTGACAAAATAAATTGTACTCACGTCACACAAACTCAAATGGGTATTTTGCCATTTTCCATTAATGTTAAAAATATAATAAAGTTTATATGTTAGTGTTTGTTACTTATATTTTATCTGTATTATGAGAAAATGCAAGTTTTAAAGTACTTTTCCTGAAACAGAACCTCTCAGTATACCTCAGTTATTTTATCTATCCACCGGTACGCAAGCTAAGATTTGACAGTTTTGTGTGTACGTATGTAAAATCACATTTACTGAGTATTTGCAAAAATTCAAGCGTACTTGTACGCAACAGACTTTATAGGAATTGAGTTTTCACATAAATATTTGCGTAATTTACGCAGATACGCAGCTTATCTGTACCTCTGAAAATGTCATAGTTCGTGTTAAATCTTTACGGTGAAACACATGTAACAGTAAGTGGGTGGGTGGTTGAGTGGGTGGGTGAGTGAGTGAGTAGGTGGGTGGGTGAGGAGTTGGTGGGTGGGTGAGTGAGTGAGTGAGTGGGTGTTGTTTTGCGTGCATCATTGCATAGTTTTTGTACAAAAATACGCTATAGGAACGAACCGCCAGTATCAAAACATTTTCCCCACAAAAAATGTGGGAGCGGTTGGGTAGCCTAGTGGTTAAAGCGTCCACTCGTCACGCAGACCCGGTTCGAATCCCCAAATTGCTACAATTTGTGAAACCCATTGCTGGTATCCCCCGCTGTGATATTGCTGGAATATTGCTCAAAGTGGCGTAAAACCATTCACTTGCTCATTCATAAAATTGTTACCATACCAGGTAAGAGCGGTGGTTGAAAACAAGTGAGTGAGTGAGTTGAGGCAATCCAGTGATCAACAGCATGAGCATCGATCTGTGTCAACCACGCCATCGAGCCTGACCACTCGATCCCGTTAGTCGCCTCTTACGACAAGCATGGGTTACCGAAGGTTCATTCTAACCCGGACCTTCACGGGTGTTGAAAACAAGGGAACTAGTAGTTCACAATCATGTTTCGTAACATTTCATCTATACAATGATCATTTGTTTATGAATCAATATCAAATGGTTATAGTGGTCAGGTGTTCGATGAGGGTGTCGGTGTCTTGTCCCATCTGAAGCTTAAGTTAAATTGGTGCTCGTGGGAAGGATGCCTCCTTTTTGTTTAAATGTTAATATTAATGTGTCAAACTATCATCCCAAATTCGAAGATCGATGCTCATGATGTTGATCGCTGGATTGTCTAGTCAAGACTTAAACTTCCGGTACATCGAGGATCTAATATTGTTCAATTATCATCAAATAGCCAATTGCCTTCAATTGATTTACCCACCTGAACTTGAAATTAAGGAGACAAGTGAGACCGCCTCAACTGTTTCATATTTAGATCTATTCATAGATATTCAGAGAGACAATAAACTCTCCAAAAGGCTGTATGACAAAAAGGATGATTTCAACTGTCCAATAGTCAACTTCCCTTTAATGTTTGTTTATTTGGAAATTATGTACTCGGTATTCTCCACGTACGAAAATATTCCCAAAAGTTTTTATGACCCTAACGTTTTTCGCTCAAGATACTGAAATATTTTAAGAGACTTACATTGTCGATCAAACTCAATATATATTTTAGAAATATGTGTGTGATAATCGATCATGTCATTAACATCCCCCAAAAAATTGTGGTGGGTGGGGTGGGGAAGAGAGGTGCAGTGGGGATATAGCCTAATGGGTTCAATCGACCCCTCGTCATGTTGAAGTTCCGAGTTCGATTCCCCCAAATGGTTACAATAAGTGCAATTATTCCTAGTCACCCCTAATAATGTCGATCATAAATAAGTGTAAATAGTGAGTAGTGAGTGAGTGAGTTTAAATTTACACCGCTTGTAGCAATATTCCAACAATATCACTGCGGGGCATACAGAAATGGGCTTGACAATAGTAGTGAGTAGATATTGCTTTCGGTCGCATGAGAAATTTTGCACTATTCGCGGGTACAGAAACGAATGTGACCAGAACGTTTAGTTACACAAACGATTTGTGAAATTAATGTATGTGGACATGATTTACAATCAATATGAAGTGAGTGAGTGAGTGAGTTTAGTTTTACGTCGCACTCAGCAATATTCCAGCAATATGGCGGCGGAATCAATATGAAGACTGCAAATGTGTAAACCAGCAGTCAATAGCATGTGAAGTTTTCATGTTGAAGTCGGTCAAAGAAAATAACATGTGTTTATGAACCAATATCAAATAACTATTATACCTGGTGTTTAAAATAAGAAAAAAAAGGTAAGCGTATCCTGCTCCACCCACGGTATCCACTACAAACACACGGGAAGGCAAGTTAATTTCCCTCCTAAAAACATGCATAAGGTTAAGGTATAACTAAAGCTATGTACGACGTTACCGTCGGTGAGAATGACGTTGTTTGACGTTTGGTAGTGAACGCTGGGGACATCCATCAACTTGGAAATAATGTTACTATCCAAATAATATAGAAGATAACACAAACGCACATTTTTATTGAAAATATACATCCTTAAAATGGTATCACACTTTGTTCTATCACATACAAGAGTGTCTGGTTCATTGGACATTTATGGACCTGACAACGACGCCTCGCCCAGGGAAGGTGTGCGTATGTAGCAATGCTTCAGGAAGTTCTGGTAATTCCTTATTGTAATCAGGGAACAAACAAATCTGGTAATAATCAGTACCAAATACACTCTAATCTACGAATTCAACTGTGTTACAGGAAGCGCTGGACTAGATCTCTTCAAACATTTGCTGTTTTCTTCAATAATATGTGATATGTTATGCTTTATGTGAACAGTCAGTCATGTCCTTAAGAATGACCCGTGGAGATCCGGGTTAGAATTGGTCTTCAGTAACTAGGTTGCTGACTTGGTTGACACATGTCATCGTATCCCAATTGCGTAGATCGATGCTCATGCTGTTGATGACTGGATTGTCTTGTCCAGACTGAATTATTTACTGACCGCCATATAGCTGGAATATTGCTGAATGTGGCGTTCAACAACAAGCCAGCCGATCCTAAAAATATTTTGCTCTAGGAGACTATCCCGGTGATGAGCAGTCCAGTCATAAAAGGCCAGTAGCGTTTCTTCTATTATGTTGCCCTGTCATCTCTTATCTAAGGATCTTGTAATCATTACATCTAAAATCAGGTGACTTATCCATGTGAGGCCATGTCAGGTGTCTACAACTTTCAAAGTGATCAGGACATCGATCTTTTCCCCTAATCAAACGCTTTCTAATTGTTTGATCGACATTCTTAGAAGTTGGTGAGTTAAAAATGAAACATACAACTTTCTGGATGACTTCTTACATCCTCCACATTTAGCTTTATAACGGTGTAAGAATCTACATCGAAACGTCGGAAATGCAATAAACAAGAAGTTGTCATTCATAAAGTTGTATGTTTCATTTTTAATCAAACTCAACGGCACACATGACAGAAAGGCTCAGCAATGGACAGTTCTCTCTTTCATTTACAATTACAATAATTTAGAAATGTTTAGATTAAATGTAAATGACAACCTAAACATTTTAAACGTTAAATAACTATTGGCAAAATTTGGATTTACGATTTTCAGGTTAGAATTAATACAACTGTTCAAATCTCACAAGTGTACAATACTATGAGAAACTCTTGGAAATGCAAGCTGGTGACTAGTGAGAATCCTAGCTGCATCTGTAATCAAACTATGCCAGCGTGTCTTGCGAGGGCATAAAAAATTCCTTTGGTGTCCTGTAGTAGTCTCTCTGGGGTGTCATAAGCCTCGACAATCCCTTTGTTTAGCACCAATATTCTGCAAAATAATACCAAAATTGTAATCTTTGGACTTATCATGGGACTAAAAAATATTGGTCGTCAAAAACATTTAGTTGACATCAAATGAGGCAGGTCCAATTATTTCTCTGACAAAAAGTATGAATATATTTTCAAAAGGCTCACATACACATTTTTCCAAATCCTTTCATGTCAATGATTTTTGTAACACAAATCACATGTCCCAAACCAACCACAAACGTAATGACTGATTGAGCATTTAATGACAATTGTACGGGAAGTCGTACATAACTTGTCAGTTGGAAACAAGGTTAATATAAGGGTGCGTTGCAAACAGCCAATCGCTTGCAAGCGATTTCGAGCGATTCACGTAACAACAGAGCGTTAAATTTCAGTCGCTTGCAATCGCACCAATCGCTGGCTGAGGTCGCTTCGTTCTCAAACCAACATGGAAGCTGAGGGAAAGTTGAATTCGACCACTGAACAACAGATGTTTGACGGGATAAGATGGGAAATGGTTAAAAGCAACTTGCATCCCACCATCCTTTCAACATCTTCAATTTATTCATCATTACTCATCAGCGAGACCTGTGTATGTTCTTCAGTTGGCCCAGATCAAAAGGTAATCGCTCCGTCATTTTGGGATAGTGGGCAGGAACGAGATAAGAGATTAATTCGCCTACTCTAAGCGATTCGAGGCTTGCATTGCGCCCTAAGTTTGATTGACTAAATCATGCACACAATCACTAGTTTTTCACAATCCAGAGGATATACTTACTATGAATTCATGGGAGGTTATTTGATTGTGGTACTTCACAATACACATGATAAAGAATGTTTTCTCAAACCTGTATCAGATTCAGTGGTGGGTAATTTATTATGAATTTTGTTTAGAAAGTGGCCAAATGTAACAAATGATATATTTGGGATTACACGTCCTAAGTAAAGTACAGATTCTAGTGCTTTTGTTGGGTTGAGTCCTCCCGTAACCTCAGAGTCAGGCACCTAATCGCCAGCACACAACGTCAGCCGCCTAGCCAACTCAGCTGTAGGGTGTGGGCTCGAATCCCGGATGGGACTCAACCCCAAAGATGTCCGAGAAACTGTACTCCGAACCCATATCCTCAGAGTCAGGCACCTAATCGCCAGCAAAACAAAGTCAGCCGCCTAGCCCGCTCAGCTATAGATGTGGGCTCGAATCCACCTTTATAAAAGGACTCAACCCAATAAAAGTGCTAGAATTTGAACTTTACTGAGAAAGTGTAATCCCAAGTATAACACGTGTTACAGGTAGTTTGCTGCAATAATGCTGACCTGTCGTAGTCCATAACGGTGTTGAGTCTGTGGGCGATGGTCAGCACCGTGCAGTCCTTGAACTCTGACCTGATGGTCTGCTGGATCAGGTCATCGGTTTCCATGTCAACGGCTGCTGTAGCCTCGTCCAGTACCAAAATTTTGGATTTTCGTAGAAGAGTCCTTGCAAGGCAGAGAAGCTGTCTCTGCCCAATACTGGAATTGGAGACACAAAATCAAACACTTGCCATCTTGCCCACAAACTGAATACGTTTAGTCCAATGGCAGGCAATGGCAGGCAAAACAAGCTTCCATTTTCGGGCACATTTTGTGATGGGCGGGGGCTACCAGTAGGGTAGGACATGCCTACCCTTTTCTCGAACTCCTGATGTCATTGCTGATATTGAGTGATTCATTTATATAATTTCCCAGCTATTTTCCCTTTACGCCAAACGAGATGTTTCTGAGGATAGTCAATATAAAAATGATAATAAAATTAATACAGTTTATTTGTAGAGCGCTAGACTCCATGCACTAGTGCATGCTCAAAGCGTTACAAATTTGTTTAGCAGGAATATGCTTTCTTGAAGAGAAATGTTTTGAGGTTGGGCTTGAAAAAATCTAAGCAGGCGGCAGTCCTGAGTTGAACAGGAAGATCATTCCACAGTCGTGGGCCTACTGTACTGAAGGCATTGTAGCCATAGGTTTTAAATGTATACCGGGTACTGTTTCGCACTGACGTTCTATACCATATATACTTGAGTATGTGCAGTTTGTCATGAACTTGTTTGAGACTTGTTAGCGGCGGTGTTTAATATGTCCGTTCTTTTATGTCGGATTCAACGTCTGTTTTGCATGCATATGTTGCCGTGTTTGTTTTACGCCGCACTCAGCAATATTCCAGCTCTATGGCGGTGGTCTGTAAATAATCGATTCTGTGCCAGACAATCCAGTGATCAACATCATGAGCATCGTTCTACGCAATTGGGATACGATTACGTGTCAACCAGGTCAGCTAGCCTGACCACCCAATCACTTTAGTTACCTCTTACGTCATGCATGGGTTGGTGAAGACCAATTCTAACCTGATCTTCACCGGTCTCAAAATGTTGCAATTGTGCAAATGACTGAGAGGCTTCATCCTTACCATTTATGTCGTCTTTTATGACAACAAAGGCTGGTGGGCACTTATTCTGTGAGAATCCCCCGAGAATCAATCGAGAATCTCCTCAGGTACACACTGACTGTCTCGCTCATTATTGTATTGTTCGTACCTGAAGTTCTTGCCCCCCTCCTGGCATTTGTAGAGAAGCTGACCAGGTAGAGAACTGACCAGTGTGTGAAGATGGGCGTGTCTTAAGGCAGTCCATATCTCCTGGTCATCGTAAGCCTCGACTGGGTCAAGGTTCACGCGTAGTGTTTCCGAAAATAGCGTCGGATCCTGAAACGAAACGGAACAGTGATGTAAATGTCTATCTTTTGGAGGGTCTATGTGAAACCAATAACTAAACTGCTGTTGATCACAGGATTGTCTGGTCCAAACTCGAGTATTACACATGTTGCTGGAATATTGCTGACTGCGGCGTTAAACAACAAACTAAACATTGTTACATGCGCAAGTCTGATGGCTGTTAAAAATGAAACCAACAGGAAATGGTTAATCGGTTAATTTTTTTAACCGAGGAATATAGCTGTGCCTTCAGACCATAACAAAAAATATTATATCGACTGTTTTCACTATGGTGACGTTTAAATAACGTTTACAGTGTTTTGATGCAATCCAGTCTTGAAATGTATAATATCTTTTGTTGAGGAGTTCTTGTGTCGGGGAGGCAACTAAACTATTAGAAACAGAATTTAATAAGGTACATCCACGTGCTAATCATTCTACTGGTCACCTGTGGAATTATGGTCAACCTTGACCTGACCTCGGAGAGCCGGACATCGGCGATGTTTATGTCGTCAATGATGATGGCCCCCTCTACGGGATCGATGAGACGGAAAAGGGAGAGCATCATCGAAGATTTGCCTGCCCCTGTCCTACCCACAACTCCCACCTGTAAAATAATCCGTAAAATATAATGTCTCGGTCGGCATTGGAACCAATCTTCTTGGCACGATCAGCTAATGTCGGGTTCGTTGTGAGCCAAAAGAAAACATGGTACTCTAAACGAATGAAGATCTAGACACCATAATTGCTACACTGCATGCTCATCACGCATTGCCACTATAGGTAGACTGTGAAAAGCATATTATTACGGTTCCATCACCATTTCATTATGACCCTAACGACGAACGCCTCTGTGATCTAGTGGACAGTGTGGGAGATCGGCGTTTCTTGCAAAAAGACGTCAAGCGTTGGTGCGCGCCAGTATAGTGGATCTAAATGGGGTGTTCGTGTTAAAACTGCGATATTGTACCGCAATAGGCTAGGGTTATAAATTATTGGTACGGACTACACAGAAACACATACATGCTTGTGCGTCTCTGTAGAAGTCCCCATTTCACCCCACCTCGTCTTTCACGTGGGGCTGTTTGTTAGCCGTGTGGTTAAAGCGTTGGATTCCGGGTTCGATTCCGCATATGGGTACAATGTGTAAAAGACATTTCTGGTGTCCTCCGCCGTGTTAATGTTGGTATACTGCTAAAAGCGGCGTAAAGCTAAACTCACTCACTCATCTTCCACGTACCTTCTCTCCTGGTTTGACTAACAAATTTATGTCCTGCAGCGCTAGTTGTAATCCAGGGCGGTACCTCAGGGAAAAGTTCCGGTATCGGATAACTCCCTTATCCGGCCATGCTGGAGGGACGCTTTCAGCCCTGTCGAAGCAGTCTACCTGACAACAGGACATACCATAAAGAACGTTTCCCTTCGTATAGCAAAACCCCGTTCGTCCGGAAACCCTTCATTCCGGGCGACATTGATAAGTGTGTCTGTTTATATAGAACACCACACCGACCAGTGGTAATAGGTACATACATAGAACACCAAATCACCCAGTGGTAATAGGTACATACATAGAACACCACATCACACAGTGGTAATAGGTACGTATATATATATAGAACACCACATTACTCAGTGCTAATAGGTACGTATATAGAACACCAAATCACCCAGTGGTAATAGGTACATACATAGAACACCACATCACACAGTGGTAATAGGTACGTATATATATATATAGAACATCACATTACTCAGTGCTAATAGGTACGTATATAGAACACCACATTATTCAGTGTAAAAGGTACGTATATAGAACATCACATCACCCAGTGCTAATAGGTACATACATAGAACACCACATCACACAGTGGTAATAGGTACGTATATATATATATAGAACACCACATTACTCAGTGCTAATAGGTACGTATATAGAACACCAAATCACCCAGTGGTAATAGGTACATACATAGAACACCACATCACACAGTGGTAATAGGTACGTATATATATATATACATAGAACATCACATTACTCAGTGCTAATAGGTACGTATATAGAACACCACATTATTCAGTGTAAAAGGTACGTATATAGAACATCACATCACCCAGTGCTAATAGGTACGTATGTAGAACACCAAATTATTCAGTGTAAAAGGTACGTACATAGAACACCACATCACCCAGTGCTAATAGGTACGTATATAGGACACCACATCACACAGTGGTAATAGGTACGTACATAGAACACCACATTAATCAGTGCTGATAGGTACGTATATAGAACACCATATCACCCAGTGGTAATAGGTACGTACATAGAACACCACATTACTCAGTGGTAATAGGTTCGTATATAGAACACCACATCACACAGTGGTAATAGGTACGTACATAGAACACCAAATCACCCAGTGGTAATAGGTACGTGTATAGAAGATCACATTACTCAGTGCTGATAGGTACGCATATAGAACATCACATTAATCAGTGGTAATAGGTACGTATATAGAACACCACATTACTAAGTGGTAATAGGTACGTATATAGAACACCACATTACTCAGTGGTAATAGGTACATACATAGAACACCACATCACCCAGTGGTAATAGGTACGTGTATAGAACATCACATTACTCAGTGCTGATAGTAACGTACATAGAACACCACGTTACTCAGTGCTAATAGGTACGTATATAGAACATCACATCACCCAGTGCTAAAAGGTACGTACATAGAACAGCGCATTACTCAGTGCTAATAGGTACGTATATATATAGAACACCACATTAATCACTGCTAATAGGTACGTATATAAAACATCACATTAATCAGTGGTAATAGGTACGTATATAGAACACCACATCACCCAGTGGTAATAGGTACGTATATAGAACACCACATTAATCAGTGCTAATAGGTACGTATATAGAACATCACATTAATCAGTGCTAATAGGTACGTATATAGAACACCACATCACCCAGTGGTAATAGGTACGTATATAGAACACCACATCACCCAGTGGTAATAGGTACGTACATAGAACACCACATAACCCAGTGGTAATAGGTACGTATATAGAACACCACATCACCCAGTGGTAATAGGTACGTATATAGAAGACCACATCACCCAGTGGTAATAGGTACATACATAGAACACCACATTACTCAGTGGTAATAGGTACATGTATAGAACACCACATCACCCAGTGGTAATAGGTACGTACATAGAACACCACATCACCCAGTGGTAATAGGTACGTACATAGAACACCACATTACTCAGTGGTAATTGGTACATACATAGAACACCACATCACCCAGTGGTAATAGGTCCACATTAATGCATCAAACTCTATTCACTACATGGATAATGTGATACATCATTATTACACCAACAGTACACCAACCATCACGGAAACTTGTTAAAGCGTCATTGACCAGTGAAATTAAATTATTTAACATGAGAGTAGGATAAAGTTGTCTGCCGCTTTTAGCAATATTCCAGCAATATCACGGCGGGTGACACCAGACTGTTAATTGATAAGATACTTAAAAATTGATTATACACGGAAACACATGACTACTCGCTTGACTAACGTACCTCTGTTTCCATGGCAACGTATTCCATTATCTTTTCAACGGAGACACTCATGAGATCAAGTTTTGTGCTTCTAATGATAAACATCCGGAGATCATTGCTTGTCTGGAATATGAGAAAAATAGAACATATTCATAGTCTTAGCTTGTCAGTATAAAACCATAATTTTCACAAAATTTCATTTTAACTTCCCGATTTTGAATAACCTCGCGCCATGTCTATAGTTTCACAACAGCCATGTGCTCCGTAGTTCATGACATCGCTCCATCTTTCCATAATTTCATCACATCGCTCCATCTCTCCATAATTTCATGACATCGCTCCATCTTTCCATAATTTCATCACATCGCTCCATCTTTCCATAATTTCATCACATCGCTCCATCTCTCCATAATTTCATCACATCACTCCATCTCTCCATAATTTCATCACATCGCTCCATCTTTCCATAATTTCATCACATCGCTCCATCTCTCCATAATTTCATCACATCGCTCCATCTTTCCATAATTTCATCACATCGCTCCATCTCTCCATAATTTCATCACATCGCTCCATCTTGACAAAGTTCATCACATCGCTCCATCTTGACAAAATTACATCACATCGCTCCATTTTGACAAAATTTCATCCCATCCCATCAACAGTCTGCAGTGTCATCAAAGAGCGCAACATCCCACCATGTTTCCTTTACATCTCTCCATATTTCCATTACATCTCTCAATCATTTCATCCAATCACAACACAATTTATATCGCATCGCTTCAATGCTCAAGGATCGTAATATATCATTGCATCATATCGCATCTTTGAGTATGTTTGTGAATGCGAAATGGCACACTTTGCCTAAGTACCTAAGTAAAACTCGTTATATAATAAGTCAAGTTGGACCTGAGGGTCATATAGAATAATGGACTTTAGATGAACGTTATTCTCTCACCTCATATGCAAAGGACAAAGCAAGCCCCATCACGCCACTGCTGACAGCATCCCCTTCCAGGAAGATCAACAGCGCTGTGGATGCAAGGATCACGTGGCAAGCGAAGCTAAGGCGCATGCTCAGCCATCTGCAATGAACAACGCAGTCATCAAATACGATGGTTGGTATACGAACTCAAACCTCTGCCGTATGCACCATGTCCTGTCCGTTAACGCTAAGTAACTCTAGATAGATTACACAATGTCTGATGTCTGATTCGTCGAGACTTTCAGAGATCTACATACTTTCATGATTTTAGGTAAACACAGACCCAACTTGCACTTTCAACAAAATTGGCATTGTTTCTCCCACTAATCGCACTTCCTACAAAAGTTAAGTCTGCATACATATGAGTGAGTGAGTGAGTTTAGTTTTACCATTCAGCAGTATTCCAGCTATATGGCGGCGGTCTGTAAATAATCGAGTCTGGACCAGACAATCCAGTGATAAACATCATGAGCATCAATCTACGCAACTGGGATACGATGACATGTGTCAACCAAGTCAGCGAACCTGACACCGGATCCCGTTTGTCGCCTCTTACGACAAGCATGGTATTCTGAAGATCAATTCTAACCTGGATCTTCACGGGTTCACACGCAGGGGAATATAGCATGGTCATAGTATAAAGATACATCATCTGCTCTGATTAATTAGGTTTTTCAAATTAAAAAACCCAATACGGCTGCCTGCTCATTACACATACACACACGCGCGCACGCACACACGCACATCCCATTAGTCGCCTCTTACGACAAGCATGGGTTACTGAAGATCAATTCTGACCCGGATCTCCACGGGTCCTTCATACATGGATACGATATAAGAATGTACTACCTGTTTGATATAAAGTTGTAGTAGTTAAACTTCATGTGCGTCTCAGCCAGTCGGACAAAGCGAGTTGCAAATCTCTCCTGATCATTGAAGGCCCTGATCAGCTCTACTCCCCTGAGAAGTCTCGCTGAAGTAGCTCAACACACTGGATAGCGACTTCACGTAGGCTCGCTTCAGCTGACGTGACGTACTGATGAAATATCTCTAACAAACAAGATATTTCACATAATTGATTCCGAAAGATGGAAAATCTTAAATATTATTTTGTGTTTTTGGCTAATATGTGTAATACACATAACGCATGATCATTTCTGTTTATGAATATGTATTAATATAATTAATATAATTGGAACCAACGGCGGCAACGTGAAACAGATATGACGTCATTCTGGAATGAATTGACGTTCCATGTCACGTCACATGTTACCGTTATGTCCAACTCATTTGGTTCAGCAGAGTGTGCAAAAAGTTTCATTAAACGGAAGCCAGTATCATAAACATCGAGCACAATTAAAGTTGTATGAAATATGACTTTGATCTCTCTGCATCTCTCTCTTTGCCTCATTTTCTCTGTCTTCTCCCTCTGCCTGCCTCTGTGTCTGTCTCTCCCTCTCTTTCTCTCTGTCTGTCTTCCTCTCTATCTTTCTCTCTGAGTGTGTCTGTTTCCTCTCTCTTTCTCTCCTGTCTTTCTCTCTCTCTCTCCCCCCCTCTATCTGTCTCTCATTCCCTCTGTCTCGCTTTCTCTCTGTGTGTCTGTTTTCCCCTCTATGTATGTCTTTCTCCCCTCTTTCTCTCTGTGTCTGTCTCTGTTTCCATCTCTCTTTCTATCCCTCTGTCTTTCTCTCGCTCCCTCTCTGTCTGTATCTGTTTCCCCCTCTCTCGCTGCCTCCCTCTTTTTCTCTGTGTGTGTCTGTCTCTGTTCCCTCTCTGTTTCTCTCCTTTTGTCTTTCTCTGTGTCTGTGTCCCTATCTCTCTTTTTATCTGTCTGTCTGTTTCCATCCCTCTGTCTCTCTCTCTCTCCCTCTCTGTCTGTCTGTTTCCCTCTCTCTCTTTCTCTGTCTGTCTCCCTCTCTTTCTCTCTGTCTGTTTTCCTCTCTCTCTCTCTGTCTCCCTCTCTGTGTCTGTCTCTGTTTCCATCTCTTTCTCTCCCTCTGTCTTTCTCTTTCCCTCCCTGTCTGTCTGTTTCCCCCTCTCTCTCTTTCTTTCTGTCTCCCTCTCTTTCTCTCTCTGTATCTGTCTGTTTCCCTCCCTTTGTCTTTCTCTCTCTCCTCTCTGTCTGTTTCCCTATCTCTCTTTTTATCTGTCCGTCTGTTTCCATCCCTCTGTCTTTCTCTCTCCCTCACTGTCTGTCTGTTTCCCTCTCTTTCCCTCCTGTCTTTCTCTGTTTCTCTTTCTCTCTGTGTATCTGTTTCCCTATATCTCTCTCTATCTGTCTGTCTGTTTCCCTCCCTCTGTCTTTCTCTCCCCTCTCCCTGTTTCCCTCTCTCTGTCCTCTCTCTCTCTCTTTCTCTCTCTGTGTCTGTTTCCCTATCTCTCTCTTTCTCTGTCTCTGTTTTCCTCTCTCTGTCCTCTCTCTCTTTCTCTCTGTGTGTCTGTTTCCCTATCTCTCTCTTTCTCTGTCTGTCTCTGTTTCCCCCCCTCTGTCTTTCTGTCTCTCTCTCGCGCATGATATCATATTCGTATGTGGAGTCAAACGTAATTGTTGATAAAGTGACACAAATAAAGGTCACAATTTAGACCTGTATAACAGGTTTGTGGAGTAAACTGCGGTAACGACAAAGTCTCAGAGATGCATTCCAGGTGAAACATACATTTATACCTACCTGTACCACAATACAGCAATATATCAACGGAATGAGCAGGACCACAACTCCAGGGGCACTATAAAACACTATACACATAGAGCACAAAGTCTGAAAGCACGAATCCATCCAAATCTCAAAGGTGAAGGGGAGTTCCTTATCGATGGTATTTATGTCTTGTGAAAACCGATTGGTTATTCTTCCTAAAGGAGTTGTGTCGAAGAATTTAATTGGTGACTTCAACACCGTTTCCACCAATTTTGAATGTAGCTTTCTTGAAGCCGACACTGTAAAGTCCTTGAGAACAAGACTGTAGAAGAGGACAAGCACAGCTGCAAATGCAACAGTTTGTAATTAATAGTGAAGTAAAGATGACTTATGATTCATTTGGAAGAAATAGTAAATGTTGATATACATCATACAATTGGTTGATTTGTTGTTTAACGCCGCACTCAGCAATATTCCAGCTATATGGCGGCGGTCTGTAAATAATCGAGTCTGGACCAGACAATCCAGTGATCTACATCATCACTGGGATACGATAACATGTGTCAACCAAGTCAGCAAGCCTGACCACACGATCCTATTGGTCACCTCTTACGATAAGCATGGATGAGTGAAGACCAATTCCAACACGGATCTTCACGGGGGCATCATACAAAAACGTGTATGCTATTTTATGGAATTCAGCTTTGAACAGTATTTAATCGTGACATGTTGAATCTATTTCCAAATTTGACGAAAATTGTGTGAGAGGATATAACTCGCTATTTTGACTTGGACTGCATGTCCCAGTGTCATTTTTCAGATGCACTCTTCTCTCGTCTTTGGCCCATTTCTGGTGTCCCCCGCCGCGATATTGCTGGAATATTGCTAAAAAGCGGCGTAAAACCATACTCACTCACTCACTCACTCTCTCTCGTATTTGATGTGTCTGTGAACATAGATGTGTAGATGTGTAGGTGTGCGATATGTCTCTCTCTCTCTCACACTCTGTGTCTCTCTGTGTGTGTGTGTGTGTGTGTGTGTGTGTGTGTGTGTGTGTGTGTGTGTGTGTGTGTGTGTGTGTGTGTGTGTGTGTGTGTGTGTGTGTGTGTGTGTGTCCGGAGTATGTAGGTGGACCATTCCAACTTATTCACGCACATGCTTTCATTTCACTGTGTATCACAATCTGGATGACACCAGTTTTTTTGCGAAGATGTGGCACTCAACACAAGCACCTTCAAAGGCAAGTCAAATGTTTACGTGAAAATACACAGGTGTCAAAATAGGAAACTGGAACAGCACACATCATTTTTGTCACTGATTGGTCTCCATGTTGATTGTACATAACTAAAGATCTACTGAAAAGAATGAACAAGTGCTGACCTTGCAGTATGCCTAGCGCAAAGTAGATGGCTATGTACCAGGCGTTGGACGGCTGATGCCCCTGTGTCGGGTGTATGGTTGAGTTATGGTGTTCACCTGAGTAGTGGCTACCCGTACCCTCCGCCCAAACACTCAGCCAGATGTTGGCCAAAGTTACTGTGACGTAATACAAGAAGTAGCTCCCGCCTATCAGCAACCAATGGGTGGAACCAAAGGCGTCCAGGAACTTGGAGAATACGTTCATCCTCATCTGGAAGTAGCACTCGCCAGTGACATACATTTCACCACGGTTATCCAGGGTGTAAAAGCATATGTGATTATCTATTTAACAACTAAGACATAGTTATAACTATAATAAAGAACCTTTGAAGAGTGAGTGATATCAATTATCAGTTGTAAACTTTCAAATATTTAGAATTGGGCACATGAAGGACAATTTTCACATTATTAATGTAAAAATTTCAGGACATCGTTTATGTGATTAGGCGATTGATCAATCGGGAGAATGTGCAGGAATTTTTTCAGTGTGTTGTACTTGACAGTGAAGGACATGGGAGATGGGGGAGAAAAGGTGACCTGTGTGTTGTATTTGACAATGTAGGAGATGAGACAGACGCGGAAGAGAACAGAACAGGTGTTCAATGTGTAACAGTTGTATTTGACATTGAAGGATGCAGAATATGGGACAGAACGGATGTTTAATGTGTTGCATTTGACAGTCAAGGATGCGGAAGATGGGATAGAACAGGTGTTCAATGTGTTGCATTTGACAGTGAAGGATGCGGAAGATGGGACAGAACGGATGTTTATTGTGTTGTATTTGACAGTGAAGGACGAAGAAGATGGGACAGAACAGGTGTTCAATGGTTTGTATTTGACAGTGAAGGACGAGGAAGATGGGACAGAACGGATGTTTAGTGTGTTTTATTTGACAGTGGCGGACATGGGTGATGGGAGGAAAGGTGGTTAATGTGTTGTATTTTACAGTGAAGGACGTGGGAGATGGGACAGAACAGGTGTTCAATGTAATATATTGACAGTGAAGGACGTGGGTGATGGGACAGAACAGGTGTTCAGTGTGTTATATTTGACAGTGAAGGACGAGGAAGATGGGACAGAACAGGTGTTTAATGTGTTGTATTTGACAGTAAAGGAATGAAGGATGATGAACATACGTGAGCTACTCACTCCTCCCAACCCAACGCTGAAGGACGAGGAAGATGGGACCTCGATCAGCTTGCTACCAGCTCCTTCTGTTCAGAGTTAGTTTTGTTGGAAGCAAGAACACTGAAACCAATAGTATTGGATCTTTTTACTCCCTTGAATGCTACCTTTTTATGCGAATTGTTTTGACAATTGCATACATATGCCCTTTTCGCAAAAGCCTGTCGAATCAATGTCGTTGTCCATTTAAGTTTATACCCAATGGGGTCTGTATATATCGAGTATGGTTATTCTCTGCCGTCAATATGCTAGATTTGCCTTGCCTTCGGTAAAATGTGTCCGGTTGATTGCTCTCTTATGTCTTATATGTATTTGATTTAATGCAACATGGCAAGATCAGGCAACGACATGCATGACTATTTGACAAGAAAACCCACATCATTATGTTACATCAGATAGCCAAAGAACTTTGTGTAATTTACCTATGAAACATACATTTTACCCTAGGTCAGCTTTTATCACATGTATTTGCTTACTTGATATACAATGTTCAGTAAATAATTCTAGTTCAGTCCTTCCCCCAAACATTATTAATTGCATATGTAAGCAAGTGAGATGTATTTATAGTTACCGCTTCTCATCTGTCGGCTTATTTTCAGTGTCCCACGATTTTGGATCTGAAATTATATATTTACTAGATGATATTCAAACGTATGAAATGAACCTCGACACAGGAATATAATTAACTAACTTCAGTTTCAACAACCCCGTGAGATACAAAGGACAGTGTTTAATGGTACCATCGCAATTATAACCATTTCTCTCTTTTCTCCACAGAGAAAAAAATATGAATCATAGTATTGTATCCCTGTATGCATATTCTCAATCAAATGGTTCGAGGGAAATACTTTTAAATACATTTAGTAAAGAGATGCAATACTTTTCAGACATCCAACTATCGTTACAACCACTGAAAATTAAACGTTAACCTTACTGATTACGAGGAAGAATAACAAAGGATAACACCATTATCAAACAAGTGATGTTATTATAACCTACACGGAAACGTCGCTCTCACTGTAATAAATAGTTGTTCATCCATACATTGCTTGTGACTTGCTTGATAACAGTGTCTGAACCTACACGGAAACGTCGCTCTCACTGTAATAAATAGTTGTTCATCCATACTATTGCTTTGTGACTACACGGAAACGTTGCTCTAACTGTAATAAATAGTGTCTGAACCTACTTGATAACGGTCTGAACGTCGCTCTCACTGTAATAAAAAGAAGCCGTTCATCTATATATTGTTATCTTTCCTTACTGCTCCAACTTCCAAATGCCTCTCAAAGAGGTGAACCTTACTTTGATCCTAGTCATCGGAACTGGTTGTTTCTTACCAATATCTGCGACAGGTGAGGAGGACACCACCTGCTTCAGGACACTGTTTCTGGACATGAGTTCCTCATAGGATCCCCGCTCCTGGACACACTTGTTGCTGATGACCAGGATCGTGTCCACTCTGGACAGCACAGACACGTTGTGGGTCACCAGGACACGTGTCTGAAGCATGGTGTTGGGTTACCATGTTGATTTATATGTACATATAGAGATATACACACATTAAGGTGTTCCAATAACACCTTAAGCATGACATCTGGTTAACAATATGATGCCGTTTTACCAAAAGATCAATTATATTTGTTTGATTGTTTGTTTTTACCCCCGCGCTCAGCAATATTCCAGCTATATGGAGGCGGTCTGTAAATATTAACATCATGAGCATCGATCTACTCAGTTGAGATTCGACAACATGTGTCAACCAAGCCAGCGAGCCTGACCACCCGGTCCCGTTAGTTGTCTTTTACGACAAGCATGGGTTGCTGAGGATCAATTCTAACCCGGATCTTCACGGGTTATCTCTGGTGTCAGAAACACATGTCTGATATAGGACATCGAGGTGATAATGATTGCTGCTGATCAGAAGAGCTCCTCTCCAATATGTGGACAAGGAGGTATGACTGATGAAGGGGCGTAGCGGTCCCCAAAAAGGTACCCGTGAAGATCTTTGCTGTGCCTTGAGAGTGGCAAATTCCCACTTACTTTGTCACTTAGTCGTCCTTTGTTACTAATGACATTGTCAAAGATGTGTTTTCCAACATGGCTGTCCACAGCACTGAGAGGATCATCAAAGAGATAGATGTCAGCATCGTTGTAGACAGCTCTGGCTAGAGACACTCTCTGCTTCTGTCCTCCACTCAAGTTGATGCCCTGATGACAAGATACACGTAGGAAGCAATTTAAAGCATTATCATGACGTACGCGTTACTGTTCTTGCAGTACATTCTGAGCCTATTGCAAACAAACTGATTCCATTCCATTCAATTCTCAGTTAATAATCTGACATAACGACATTTTCACGAAAAACCCAGGCCAAACCTGAAAATGAAGTTTTGTGTTGGAATAGGTTTTACGCGTTTCGGAAAATAGCACATTTATTCAACATAAAATCAAAAATAAAAATGCTTTCGACATTGCCAGAATGTACCATCGTTGATGGTTGATACAGATATAATTTTGTAAATATACGGACACTGTCTTTCAGTGAATGTGCCCACTCCATGCACATAGTGTCATGTGAATCAATCTGTATCAGTCGATTTCGGGGACCTGGACTGGACAAATAGCTGAAACGTTGAAAAGTCATGGCGGAAAAAGGCCGGGTTCGATTCTTTAAAAGAGAATGAGTGAGTTGGATTTTACACCGCTTTTAGTAACATTCCAGCAATATCACGACGGGGGACACCAGAAATGGTCTCCACACATTGGATCCATCAGGGGAATCAAACCCGGGCCCTCGGCGTGACGAGCAAACGCTTTATACATTAGGCTACCCCGCCGTCCCTCATCAAAGAACACTATTTAGAGACTAGTATCTTTGTATCCCCTCCGTGTTTGGACTGGTATTATAAAAACAGCAGGATTAATCCATAATCATTCTTTTAAAATGTCACTATGAGATGTGTAAGATGCAAATGACAGCACATGAATATTCCTTATTCTTCGTACCTTCTCTCCGATTTCTGTCTGATCCCCTCCAGGGAGTAATTCAAGATCAGGTCCAAGTGCGCATGCGTCCAGAACAGCGTAATAACGTTTTTTGTCGAAGGGGGCTCCGAACAGGATGTTCTGCTGCAAGGTGTCGTTCTGAATCCAGGCTTGTTGGGGGACATACGCAATACTGCCCTACATTATAACATTATATACTCTTATTACACAACAAATTGGGAACAGGTTATATTTCCATCTGAGACAACAAACTAGTGACCATAAAGTTGAATCAGAAAACACTGTTCTTGTAGAATATTAGGATATATTTAGCAATATTATGTCTAGTATTTCCAAATCCTCAAGCCAAGAATTTCAGTATCATTTCAACGGTAATTATGGTTGAATTACACAGAGACCGGCGGAATAGATCAATAGTATTCAAAGTTTCAGTTTCCCATCAACGACCTTCATCATACCGTATAATCACGTTGATCGAAGTCCCATCGAGCATGCTAATAACAGCTGGATAAGAGATATGAAACACTATTTGTGATAATTATTCTCATGTGATCATGACATCACATCGTCTTGAGTTGTATATGCAATTCAAGTCAAAGGGAATCCCCATACAACTCATGGCGTGAGTGAGTTTAATTGTACGCCGCTTTTAGCAATATTCCAGCATTATCAGGGCGGGGGACACCAGAAATAGGCCTCACACATTGTACTCATGTGGGGAATCGAATCCAGTTCTTCGGCGTGACGAGCGAACGCTTGATCCACTAAACTACCCCACCGCCCCCTCAAGGCAATGTGATATCATGATCACATTAGAATAATTATCAGTACTAGTGTTTCATATCTGATATCCAGTAGTTATGAGGATCGGAAATTCCGGAATCACATTAAATTTATTACCAATAATTAAAATTAGATGCTACTTCACAGTAACTGCATGGTAACCACGGACATAAAAGACGTACCTGCACGTCTGTAGTGCCTTCAATGACGACCATTTCCCTGAGAATGGCGTTTATCAGCGACGACTTCCCCTCCCCAACCTGTCCAACAACCGCCACGAGGCCTCCTCTCGACACACACACTGAAATGCTGACGTCATCAGAAAATTAGCATATAGTCGTATTTTGACATTGTCTTTTTACGGCTAGCAGGTTCTTTATTGTTATTCTTCAATTTTGTATTAACCACAGATGCCCTATTCACTAAAACACGGAGAAAGTTGGCTTTAAAAGGCATTTAAGCATCATTTAAGTAACATTCTCGCGTGAGAGTTTGTTATGTGAAGATAACACGAGCTTAACCAAACAAATCAAGAATAATATCTAAATATGCAAATAGAACATCATAGGTTTCTGCAACGTACAAGGGAAGCAACTCTGAAAACAAATGTCTCTTTGGACAATCTTACTACATTTGACACCTAGCAAGAAATCAAAATAGGTAACGATTATATTTTCATTTATTTTTTATCAGGTAATCACTACCAGTAGGACAAAACTTTGTTCGACTTTTAAAGTGATTCAAATACTGAAATGATAATAATATATGATAAACACAGAAGTACATTATTTCTATTACTATTATATATTTATGGCAAAGGATGTACATACTCTTTTAAGACTGGTGGTATTGCTTTGTCCCATGAAAATGTCCCTCCTTTTATTTGAATGGCAAAATCTGAAAAGAAAATGATTTGATTTCTCCGTCGTTGAAAATTAGAATTGAAGGTGAGTAAAAGAGTTAAAGCTTCTTTGGACAGCACTTGAATTATATATTTGTTTTTGCTATACCTCCACAACATGATTCTGGCACACCTCAGAGGCACAGAACTCTACAGAGATCACTCAGCCTCAGATGCCAAGGCCGTTCATCTTTGATACAGTCACCCAAATCCACTGTTTACAGTTCGTTTAAATCTGTTTTAAAAACAAAGCAATGCCTTCACGATATTAATTTAACAATAGTCTTCTCTTCATTATCCAGAATTAGATGCAGACATTATGATATTCCAAGAGAAAAAACATTGCGAAAATTGTGTACATTTAATGTAATTGAAGATGAGTTCCACTTTTTGCTGGTATGTCCTTACTACACTTAGTTAAGGACAACATATCTATTGCAATATTACCGTTCATATCCTACTTCGTGTAAAATTAATTTGTTAGTTAACTCTAATAATATAACTTATATTCCCAAACTTAGTATGTATATCCACCATGCTTTTGTACAAAACAACGTCTGCAATGCCATTATTGCTAGCTGACTTTGTACTGTAGGACTTTGGCCTATTCAGTACTGTAGTAAAAGAGATTTGACAAAGCCATTCGTTACTCGAGTCTACACCATCAAACCGGTTTCGTGATTAAATCGCTGTACCACCTACCACCAGTATTCAAATATTCTGAACAGTCATACAACACACACTTCCACAGTACCGATGTACAGTGCCAGATCTTGAAGATGTAGCAGGACAGAAGGTCATCCAACAGATGACATCCTTACTTTATCAGCCTGTTGACGAGGGTTAACCTCTTCAGTCACGTGGACAATCATCCAACCTCGAGCCAGGAGATTCGTGATTCGAATTCCATCACGGGGACAAGGAGCTTTCATGGCCGCTACACTGGTGCCCTAACGTTGGACTGAGCACGTTCATGGTATATTTGAGCAAATATGTCTCAGTACCAAACTATACGATGCGACCAGGGGCTTTATGCTGACGGAGTTTGTTGTAGGGCGTGGAATCATCCCACATATTACATCCTTACACTGTTACCAAGTTCATGGGGTTAACCGCTTTGATTACGGGAACAAGGTATCCGACTTCGGATCAGAAGGTCCGTTGTTCGAATCCCAGCACAGGATCCGAAAATTTTACGGCCGCTGCAATGCTTTCTGTTCACAGGGGAGTATGTAGCAGGGTGTGGAGTCATTCCACAGATTACATCCTTACACTGTCACCTTGCTGACGGGGTTAACCTCTTTCGTCATGTGGACAAGGTATCTGACAGCGGATCAGGCTCGTGTTTCGAATTCCATGACGGGACATGTAATGGCTGCTAGGAAGGACATCTTAGTTTAGTGACAATCATGCCCTCATCATAATTCCAACGAATGGGAAAGATGCAGCTCTGAAACTTCGTTTACAATCAATACAGAAATTGTCATCCTTAAGAAAAGTTTATCTCATCATGTTCTCCAACTCATAAATACCCATCACTTTGTTGTACCATGTTGTAGTCATCAGTTACCTGTATATGTCTTGTGGTCTCAGTTACCTGTATATGTCTTGTGGTCAGTGGGATGCTGAGGTTGTTCATCCTCCAGGAGAAACTGTTGTATCCTACCTACATGAGTTTGAAGCTGTGGGTAAAGATGGAGAAGTAGTCGTTAATCTTGATCATACATGGATGGGTTACCGTGTTTAGCAGCTTGACTCCTGAGGGAATCTAGGACTTCAGTCCTGCCCCACAACGAAGCACACTCAACGAGTTTGTTCAAAGCTGCCTCTGTTCACCCAATGGGTACCCGGTGAAATAAGTCGTGAGACTATTACCTTCTAGCGCCTAACAGGCAGCTTGGGTTATCCGGGGTAATAATGATCAGATCATGCGCTCTCAGCAGGATATCTAGCCTGGAAAAGGCGCGTTATAAATATTCTCCTTATTATTATACAGTATGTGACAAATCAGTGCAGATGTCAGTATCCACATAGATGTGATATCACCTTACGTAGAATTTAAATTTATTACAGAGAAAAAGAAACAATAACCAAACTGAGGTAGCTAAATATATCACAATAAGCAATGAACTAAAATACAAAACCTTTCTGTTTTTCTTTTTCAACTGTTTCAATTTTGGGATAATAAAAAAATGTACCTTGACCATCAAGGCAATTTTGAAGCTTTTAATTTGTCGACTGAAATACGAACATATTCTATCTATTCCTACATATGCATCATGAAGCCATCACTATGTATCATGTGCTGGTTTAGTTCTACACTTACCCTTGCAAGGTCATGAAAGAAGTCAGGCGTCATGTTCAACCCTCGGCGGAGTATCTTTAGTAGTGAGACGGTGGAGAAGATGATGGCGGCATTTAGATGGACGTCTTCATACCAGAACACATACACAGCCAGTGTCAGAGCCGATACCTGCAACGTGACAACCATACATACCTATGTTTCATATATATTCAAGTGAGTGAGTGAATGAGTGAGTTTATTTTTACGCCGCGTTTAGCAATACTCTAGCAATATCACGGTGGGGGACCCCAGAAATAGGCTTCACAATTTATACCAAAGTGGGGCATCGAACCCGGGCCTTGAAGGAAGAACCACTAGGCTACCCAACCGCCCTTCATATATATTCAAACTGATAAAATACTTGTAACTACATATTAGCATATATATCGAGCTCAACCTACCTAATTCAACCATGACTCCATGAAATACTCGAATTTGACAATCAATAAAATTAGCCACGATTGCGTCTGAATTTATGACTGATTCACTGCGCACGTATACGACACTGCTGCACTACTTCCGCGTGACCACCAAGCTACGCATTCGGTTTCAAATGAAATTTAGAGATTATCAATTAGGTCTAACATTCATCTGATTTTCAAACGTTTATTTCCTTAGCGTGTCTAACCAGTCCAACTGTAAAGTAGATCGTTTTGGCAGACATGAGGCAAATAATGTACAGATCTTGACGGATGTTATGTGAAAAAAAACCCTGAAATTTAAAAAGGAAGTTCCGTAGTAAAATGGAATACTCTCAGCAACCCATGCTTGTCGTAAGAAGCTACTAACGGGATCGGGTGGTCAGGCTCGCTGACATGTTAATTAGATCGATGATCATACTGTTGCTTACTTTATTGTCTGTTCCAGACTCGATTATATTCAGTTATAAAGCTGTTTGCTGAGTACGGCGTTAAACAGCAACAACCACAAACAACAACAACAACAAACAAACAAAAACATCAACATACTGAATGTCTATAATTATGTACTTGCCATGAACGGAGCTACTGTAGTTGAGAGCAGTAAGGGAATCTTTAACAGAAACACATCCGACAAAACCTCCAGCTCCTTGTCCCTCCTATGTGTCACCCGACCTCCGAAACATACCTCCCACGCATGCAGCTTTATCGCCTTTAGGAAAGAAGTCAAATAATTAACAAAACAAAACAAAACATAAAATAACAGTACTCAGTGTAGAATGAGTAAGTGAGTTTGGTTTTACGCCACACTCAGCAATATTCCAGCTATAAGGCGGCGTTCTGTAAATGATCAAGTCTGGACCAGACAATCCAGTGATCAAACATCATGAGCACCGATCTACGCAATTGGGATACGATGACATGTGTCAACCGAGTCAGCGAGCCTGACCACCCGATCCCGTTAGTCGCCTCTTACGAGAAGCATGGGTTACTGAAGATCAATTTTAACCCGGATCTTCATGGGTAGATAGTGTGAAAACCACATTAAATAAGGAACATGTGTCAATGTCATTATGGGCAATGAAATTGCTCCATCCAATCCGCGCCATGTTTAAACAAACATCCGATGCATTTTGCAGTCCAAGCAATATGGACGGGTCAACGTCCAAAGCCTACAGCAGCACTGCAAATTGGCTGTCCACTTTGCTCCGCTTTTTAGGATTGTGTCATTTAAGACGAGTATTTACACGAATTTTGGCGTCGGTCTAGTTTTACATCAGTAGAATACAATAGATCATGCAATAATTTCCTGATTTCCCACATGTTTTATTAGCTACACGGAACATGCCTCATATATGTAAACTGCTGCCTGATTTTACCCGTTCAAAATTTCGTTACTAAGTAAAACGTGTGACACATTATTCTCGAGGGGTCATTAAAAGTGATACACGTAACGGAGAGAATTTCATGAATGTCAACTTGTTATTTAATGGAACACAGCGTATATTTATACTCCTTGATCAGGTGAATGAAAGGTGTTGTCACAACCCCTAGTGTACAGTACACAATCCTGTGCACTTAAAAGAGCCCACCACGAATCCTTTGGTATATGATCAGATGGTGGCCACATGAATACGTGCAAACACCTAGTTGCGGGTACAGCAACGTGAAGTGAACTTGGACAAAGTACCGTGACTATGTGTCCCAGTCCACCCAGCTGTGAATGGGTACCTCGCTAGGATGAGAAAGCCACAAAAACTCGGTGCGCCTAGTGGCTGCAAGAGTTGTATACTCCCCAGGGAGTTGAGATTGATAATATGATGTGCCGTTGAGATTGACATCCAATGATCGAGGGAAAAAATACCAGCGCCTTGAGTATGCTCTATTTGCCTGGATATGTGCGCTATATAAATATCCTATAATAATAATAATAATAATAATAATAATAGGGAGATGGCTTATTTACGCACATGATCCGCCGTGATATTGCTGGAATATTGCTAAAAGCAGCGTAAAACACAACTCACTCACTTATATGCACATGCGGGGACAACGGAAGTGGCAAAATAGCGAATTAGTGAATATAGTTTTACGCCGCTTTTAGCAATATTCCAGCAACATCACCAAAAATAGGCTTCACACATTGTACCCATGTGGGGATCGAACTCGTGCCTTCGGCGAGACGAACTGTAACCACTTGGCTACCCAACGCCCCAGTGGTAAACATAACAAAAGGGGACAGTTAACAAAGGTAGCCAGCTGTATACTTGCGCTGATTGGTAAAAGCTATGAAGACTACTCTGCATGTATTATATTTAGGTAAAGGCCTCTGACCTTTATACCAGTCAGCACCTCTGTCAGCAGCTTCATACGGCTATCCTGTTTCTCCATTCGACTTTTAAGGAGCTTCTGCATTGCTCCAGCTATCTGGATGTGGGTGATGACGAGAACAAGACTCCCGAATAGGGACAGTGCAGATGCGGGGCCCAGGAGGAGGAAGAGCTGCACAAACACTACTACGATGTTGAGAGGGCTGAGGAAGGAAAAGGAGACGTTGTTGAAGGCGAGGCCAGCCTCAGCAGCGTCCGTGGAAATAAGAGTCAACATCTTTCCTACTGGGTAATTCTTCCTTCCCGAGGAAGACAGCTGTAGAGACTGAAAGAAGGAACAAAGAAAGGTTCAGTTCCAACAATGACTCTGAATATTACACATAGAGTTTTGTCTTCAGACGTTGTGAGGTTTCATATTTTGTCACCTGGGTCAGCATGGCGTCAAAATGAGAGAACCATTTATCTTTTATGACACCGATAATACACAAGAACCAAACGCATGTTGCGATTAGACACATCTTATATTTCATCTTATGAATTTGACCTCCAAGTTTAATGTTCTTACAAATTATGTAATTGTGTTGTGTGTTCGTTGAAACAATATGCCATCTTATCCCAACTGCGTAGATCGATGATGATGCTGTTGATTACTGGATTGTCTGGTCCAGACTCGGTTATTTAAAGACTGCCGTCATATTGCTGGAATATTGCGGCGTCAAACTAAACTAAACTAAACAATAATGTTACTTGTTTGCTTTGGTCTTCAGAACCCGTGAAGATCCGGGTTGTAATTGATCTTCAGTAACCCATGCTTGTCGTAAGAGGCGACTAACGGGATCGGGTGGCTAGACTCGCTGACTTGGTTGACACATGTCATCGTATCCCAATTACGTAGATCGATGTTCATGCTGTTGACCACTGCGTTGTCTGGTCCAGACTCGATTATTTACAGACCGCCACCATGTAGCTGGAATATTGCTGAGTGCGGCGTAAAACTAACTCACTAACTCACTCACTTTGGTCTTTGCCTGATTAGTAACATAGAATTGAGGTTAAAGTCCGCGTTGTACGTAATCGGCTTAGATGATGGAAAACATAGGTCGGAAAATTCAAACAGATGGTCACGATGGAACCATGAACGAATATGTGATACCGACAAACCAAGTCTATTTTAATAAAACTAAATATACCTTTTTAAATATGGCTGCCATTAGTACATTCTGCGTTGAAAGTTCTAGCTTGTTCCTCATGTAGATAAACTGTTGGTAGAAGATACTGTCCAGGACCTGAGTGAGGAACAGAGAGGCCACCAGGACGCCACCTTGCCACACTCCTCCCCAAGGCTTCTCTACGTAGGAGATCAATGTCCTGGAGACAGGGACGTTAACGTCATGTTTGACATCAAAGGTGAACTATTTGACAGTATGAACTTAATATTGCCATTATCATTATTGACTCGATAGAAGATTCTAAAAGGTACAACTGGCGGTGGGCTAGCTATAGCCTATTCGTTAATACGTTCACTCATCACGCCGAAGATTCAGGTTCCATTCCCAACATTGGTACAATGCTTAAAGCCCATTTCTGTTGTTCAAAGTCGTGATGTTGCTGGTATTTTACTCAAAGCGGCGTAAAACCCAACTCCCTCCCTCACTACTGATGCGGTAAGGGATTCAAACACACGTCTCTAATCTAGGGGATAACAATGAAACAACTTTAAAGATTGCCATTGACTGAGTGATTGTAGTGTACTTATGACAGAGCTCGTAGTGGAGCGGGTCTTTCACGTTTGAAAAGTCACAATAATGAAAACTATTTCGAAAAGTGAAAAGCAAGGATTAAGCCTAATGCTCTGAGAATGGACATGCAAACAGGCAGACCTATACAATAATGTAATACAACACTCACTCACTCACTCACTCCACGGTACCTGAGATGTATGGGGGCTATCCACAGCAAGGAGAAGCAGAGCAAGTGAAGGCACTGGATGACGGAGAACCTCCATCTGAACGTTCTCAGTAAAGCCCATGCAAGCGACGCGGTGTGTTGAGAAGAGGATCGGGGTCCGTTGTCGGGTGGGGATTTTTCGTGGTAGACGTGGCCGTTGGAGACGTGAGTAGTGTTCACGACGTCATAATACCTGGATATCAGTGTTTAGAAAATATCATAATATGTTCAACAGCAAAAGAGATAAGCGAATGTCTTTCATCATGGTTGGCCTGTAGTCAGACCCAAAACATATCCCGCTATTGACAATTTAGGCAGATTTTATTCTTAAGGGTTTTATTACTTATAACTACATCTGGTATCGGTCGACCGCAAAAGGATGTTGAAACTTAAAATAACAATTATGTCAGTTATGATTGCAAGTAACCGACGTCACTAGACGTCGTTGAATCGGGGACACGATTGGCCCAGTTGTCGAAGGCGCCGCAGTTCACTCTGCAGATCGTCTCGTGGCACGACAGATTGTGGGTTCGAATCCCGGTTCGCCCAGGTTATATGTCTATGTTAGTCGGCACCATACTAGTGCTCGTCAGTTTCACCAAAGTGGTAAAGACTGACACCTGCATGACTTCGGGTTTTCCTCCCACATTAAGCAGACTCGCCATGATATAACTGGAATATAGTGGAGTTTAACCCAACTCACTCACTCACTCGTCAGCATGAGTGTTTGCAAAAACAATCAGATATCTTGCTAGATTGTATCAGATGTATGACGGCGATTAGTCATAACTCCAGAGAGCTTCCCATCCTTCAGTAATGGGCCACATATCGCTGTGCAGAGATGGAGAGAAATCTATGGAATCCTAGAAGGGACATTATCGTGTTATCGCTCTTACGAGCGGAAAGGGTCAGAATTAGCCAAAGTGCGAGAATGGAGCAACGCAAAATTTTGGCAATTTGTCGCGCTTTAGTATCTTTCTATTCCACCAAATGGCGGCAACGCGAGAATGTCCCTTCTAGGTTTCCATAGAAATCACAGCGAAATGACAAACATGTAAACTTGAGTGGCACGGGCAAATAGATTTTTTGTATTTATTTAACATATGGAAATATTGTACAATACTCCAGCATAAAAAAAATAAATGGGAACCTCTAATGACAGGACCATGATGCCAGCAAAATACTTCTGTTTTTTTTTAAGGAGAAAGCAGACCTCATTTGTGAAGCAAGATATTGGGACGTCACAATACATAACATATTCTCTACCTTTACCATTATCAACATCATGACACTAACGACATGTATGAATAGGACACAGAGTTATTCAGGAGTAGTTGGTGGTCCTTACCTGGCAGCGTGGAGCTCTTTCTCCCATTCCTTCTGAAACCGGGGGTAGTTGGTATTGCACGTGCAGGGTGGACACAGGTCAGGGATATCCTCACTGCTCAGAATCTTCTTACTGCCAAGTTCTAGCAGGCTAACAAAACAAAGGAATCGCAGCTTAGACGAAGGTAGACAACTGCAAGCATCCGTTTGTTGCTGTATTTGTTTGTTGTATAACGCTTTGCCAAAGCAATATTCCAGCTATATGGCGGCGGTCTGTAAATAATCGAGTCTGGAACAGATAATCCAGTGGTCAACAGCATGAGCACCGATCTACGCAATTCGGATACGATCTCGTTAGCCGCCTCTTACAACAAGTATGTTTTGCTGAAGACCAATTCTAAACCTATCTTCACGGGTTTTGTTGCTGTCAGTTTAAGTCAGAAAAAAGCGTTAGACCGGTCCACTGTTTCAAGAAATATCATTCTATTTCTCTGTACGGGAGATCATATACCATATATATACCTGTACATCCATGCCATCTATTTCCTGTACAACCGTACAACACCACTTATTTACCTGTACAACCGTACAATACCATTTATTTACCTGTACAACACTAATTTCGCTATATTGCGTAAATGAAAAATGTAGTGACGACAAAAGGAACCTTAAAACCAAACAATGTAATCGCAATACCTTACCTGCTTGGCCATGTAAAGAAGATTCTTGATAGCCATGATGCATTGTTTTCTGGACAGGTGTTGGTCTAAAACAAAAGTAAATAAGGTGCATCAGATAAATGACAATGGTTTGAAATAAATGTTGAAATGAAATGAATGATTGGCAATATCTTTGCTCACATAAAAAGATGTAATGAACGATGTCAAACGCATCCATGTACTGATATTTTTAATGTGATTAATTAATTGAAATGGTGTATGTTAAATGATAAAGACTTACAGACTTAAATGCTTGTTTACAACAATGTGTTAACAAACTGAAGAATAGAGATGATTACAAGTACTGGGAATTTCGTTATTCACAGACACGTGAAGATCCGAGATAGAATTGGTCTTCAGCTACCCATGCTTGTCGTAAGAGGCGACTAACGGGATCGGGTGGTCAGGCTTGCTGACTTGGCAGACACATGACATCTATATTTCAGTACATATTTTAATTAATTTCTTGTATGTATGTTTGTATGCATGTATGTATGTGTGTATGTGTATGCATTTGTGCATGTATGTGTGAATGTGTGTGCATGCATGCATGCATGTATGAGTGTGTACATGTATGTATGCATGCATGCATGTATGAGTGTGTGCATTTGTGTATGTATGTGTGAATGTGTATGCATGCATGTATGTGTGAGTGTGAGTGTGTGTATGTATGAGTGTGTCTGTGTGTGCATTTGTGTATGTATGCGTGAATGTGTATGCATGCATGTATGTGAGTGTGTGTATGCATATATGTATGTATGTATGTACGCACTTACGTAATTACGTATGTATGTATATTTGTATGTATGTGTGTATGTATGTACGTGTGTGCGAGCGCGAGTGCGTGCGTGCGTGCGTGCGTGTGTGTGCATGTGTACCCATACAGCACCCCCCTTTTACCAAAGTTCCAGTAGATGGTTGATAGTCGGAATTACCGTGTTTCTGATAATCACAAGAACTGATAACAGACATTTATCACAAGTTCGCAACGTACACTGTTCATATCGCTGTTGGCCTGTCAGAGATAACAGGAATACTTCATGATATACGTTTGCCGGCTGTTATAAATAACCCACCGTGCACCTGAGTGTGTCTTGCTCCTTGATAGCGGGCATTTGTGTACATAAAAGAGGACAATATGACAGAGATATATAGTGTGGAGACAAGTGGAAGCTGAGTGAGTGGGTAGTGGCATTGAATGAGTGAGTGAGTGAATTTAGTTTTACGCCGCACTCAGCAATATTTCAGCTATATGGCGGCGGTCTGTAAATAATCGAGTCTGGACCAGACAATCCAGTTATCAACAGCATGAGCATCAATCTGCGCAACTGGGAACCGATGACATGTGTCAACCAAGTCAGCAAGCCTAACCACCCGATCCCGTTAGTCGCCTCTTACGACAAGCATAGTCGCCTTTTGTGGCAAGCATGGGTTGCTGAAGACCTATTCTACCCCGGATCTTCACGGGTCGGCATGGAATGAAAGTATGTATCATAAAGTTTGGGCGCACAGTGTATTTCCGTAGAAATCACCCGTGAAGAGCCGGGTGAGAATTGATCTTCAGTAACCATGATTGTCGTAATCGGATAGTCAGGCTCTCTGACTTGATTGACCCATGTCATCGTATCCCAGTTGCTTAGATCGATTCTCATGAGGTCAATCACTAGATTGTCTGGTCTAGACTCGATTATTTACAGATAGCTTCCATATAGCTGAAATATTGGTGAGTGTTAAACAACAATTTCACATTGCAATAATCAGACTTTCGTATAAACTAAAGCATGACCGGCTCTACTTTAAACATTTAAACGTTACATTGTCAATTCCGTTCAGCAGCTCTATACATTGAAATAATATAATGTTGTTTGTTTTTTCAAAATTGTTCTGGTGAATGTTATCAGTCGTTAAAATGAATGAGTTTATTTTATCGCTGTGCCAGATGATGCGTTTTTTTTAAATTTCGGATTGAGAAAAATGTATTGATATCTATACTGCTATCAACAGTCAAACCTATTTCTCACATCAACCATCAAAGGTCTTCAACCATTCCTATTCACATCAAACGTCATGCCAAATGCGGCGTTGTTTTTAAATTTTTGATTGAAAAAAGAAGATTATAATTAAGACTAAATTAAAACAAATTATCATAATAGGTTTTGGATTCCACATTCCATTCCATCATTTTCAACTAATGCTATAACTTTTCCACGTGGCGCCAAATGCTGCGTTAGTTTTTAATTTCGGATTGAAAAAAAATATATTGCGCACAATTACTCGTATGTTGTGATTAGCGAAAGCGATTTTCGGGTGTCACATCCCAGCATCAAAGGCTTTCAGCCAATCCTATCACTGTCTTAGTGCTACAGTAATCCTACATGTCCCTGTGAAGCAGCGGTAAACACGACTCACTCACTAACCCATCCTTTCTTCGCCTTGTTAAATCACATTGGTAACATCCCACGCGATCGCACACATGGCGAACTCGTGCATCATTGTGGACATCCCGTGGCGACAAGACTATACATAGGCTCTCTGGCATGCTGTTTTACAGTCCTACCAACGTGGCGTTACAACAACTGGAATAACCTTGTCGGCGGAATGTTTGCCGCTGCCAAAGCAACGCTATGAAGACTTGAAGGAGCCGAGTACAACAACAACGTATATTTTATGTTTTCAGTACTGAAGCCTTTGTTCGGTGTAACTATAATAGAAGGTATTCTTAAAATATTGTTTTATTGTGTACACACATCATTAATATATTTCTAAATTGTAAATCCAGAGAGGTTAGATCATCTAAAAATTACGGAATATTTCCATGATCTTATAAACTAGAATTAACGAAGGTATGGCATATAGCAGAACGATCAATGTATTCAACTGATATATACTTATATCATGAGTGTGCCCACAACCCATACACTTGACTTTATCTATCAGGAGTTACTATCGCCTGTGATAACAATTTCGGATGATCGTTAAACCTGTTAAAAGAACACGCTTAATTACAATTCAGCCTCAAATTGTGCACGGAAACACTTAAGGAGTAATGCGTTCACAATTGTGTAATTAAAGAGTCAAGTGTGGGGTTTCAACATGAAAATGGCAATGTACCGAATCGTTTCTCCTTGAACATGGTGATGATACAAACACCGCATGCCTTACCCTCGTATTGTGGTCCATATCCCCACGCCGCACCCCCGGGTGTAATATCACATGGGGCACACCTATAGTCTCCTTCAATGTTCCGAGTGTCCACTCGACAGCATGTATGTCAAATACTCTGCTCCCGGATCCTCGTTGTACCGGCGGCTAAGAATACCCGCTCCTCGTTGTTACGTAAATGGTTAGCGTACAGAACACGCTTAGTGCCTACACACACGGTGCTAGTGCCATAGTACATCACACTTGCATCTGCTATCTCGGATATTGGCCCGTATTCAAAACCTCACCTTTGTAGAAGGTCGACTGTTCTGTTGTAGATTCCCAGCTGGAGGGTATTTAGCATATCAACAGGTATCTCCCGTGTGATTTGATCTCCCGGGGTAATGGTATCAGCCGTATGGTTAAGTTGCGTATTAACTTTCATTAAATACATATTACATTAGGAATGAATCATGCATTTTGACGGGTTGGGTAAAAGATTAGTTCTCTGTATATCGTTACACTCAGCAAATTCTAGCTACATAGTGAGTGAGTTTAGTTTTACGCCGCACTCAGCAGTATTCCAGCTATATGGCGGCGGTCTGTAAATAATCGAGTCTGGACCAGACAATCCAGTGATCAACATCATGAACATCGATCTACCTAATTCGAATACGATGACATGTGTCAACCAAGTCAGCGAGCCTTACCACCCGATCCCGTTAGTTAGGGTTACAGAAGATCAATTCTAACACGGATCTTCACCGGTCTAGCTATATAATGAAATAATCGAGTAGGTACCAGACAATCCAGTGACATCATGGACAACATACGACGTCAATGGGGGAGGATCACATTTTATTATATTCCTTATTATTCTGGTGAGGTTAGATCCTTACTGATGGGTGAGTGAGTGAATTTAATGTGGCATCGGCAATATTGCAGCAATATCGTGACGAGAACAGTTTTTATCAATATTCAAATCAATAAATGTGTTACGTAAAAGGACCATCGAAGGACCTTACTGGTGGTGTTTTATGACAGGGTTTTTCATTGCTTCTGATATTTGGCTTCTAGAGTTTGTCTATATGAAAAGCCATACATTATGCATTTGTTTTCCGATCACATAGTGAAATATATCATCACTAGATCAAAAACACAGAATTATTCAGCGTTTTTCAACTGTTGGTGTGTTTGTAAAATATGTTTGGACTGAATGGGATAATAATGCAGAAGAAAATATTAGATAGTTGAAATTAATAAGGGACTGTGTAATTTTTATACCCATACTGTGATGATGACTTCAAGGGTGATGTGTACATAAAAAGTCCCTCGGGCATATAAACCAAAGGAACGCAACTCGTACACGGACAATGAGTCCGGTTCATTTCACTTATTACGCTGGTGAGGTTAGGTCCAAACTGATGGTGTTTAAGGCGATACTTGTTAAAAGCCTAGATCATGTTGGACCTCTTCTTACACCAAAGAAGCATTCAAACTTAGATCCAAACACATAGTTGTTTAATTCGATCATGTGTGTTGGGACAACATGTCAGGGGTGAATGTGATAATAATAAGGAATAATGTATTCGTTATTCTTAATTATTCATTCCAATATCATATAACGTTTCAACATAATATCACGAAGACAATATTTATACTGTTCTTATGTTTTACTCACATCCAGGATGACTGTGTTGACTATCCAGAGGATGTATTTAATATTTATAGAAAAAGTAGAGATAAGTGTTTTAACTCTTACGGTATCAAATTAGCAAATCTTTGTTGTACTTTTGGAATTCACTCACTTAATGGTAGACTATTCGAAGATGCTGATGGTAACTTTACATGTTCTACATATAACGGTACAAGCGTCGTTGATTATATCTTAGCATCTTCTGATTTAGTTCAATATTTCACTGACTTTAAAATACTTGATAGAGATGACTCTTGTCATTTTCCTCTTGCTTGCACCTTGACAGTGGAAAAGTTTGGTAGTGTTCAATGTCCAAGTCACCGAAATAGTTGTAGCAACAAGAAAGCTGGTAGAAATACTTGGGCCACATCTGTTAAAAACATTCTGTATCAATTTGGTTTTGGTATTGTATGGTTATCCCAAGATGTAGGTAATGTAACTTTATTTATGTTTACTTTCAAACAAAGGTTGTATGACAGTCTATGTCAAGACTGGCATTCTTTAATATCCAATTCATCAAAGTGTAATGTATATAGTAAATTTAAGTCATTGCTGAGTGTAGAAAGATACTTAAGCGTAGACATCCCATATTATTACAAGCATGTCATTTCCCAATTTAGGTGTAATAATTTCCGTTTAGCGGTTGAGTTAGGTAGGCACAAAAACATCAATTAAGCTGACAGGATTTGTACTTATTGTTGTACTAAAGGCTTACACTTAGTGGAGGATGAATTTCATGTTCTCTTAATATGTGAGAGATATGAAGATATTAGACAAGAATGCCTTCCTTCATGTACACTTGCTAATCTCCAGTTTTGATACCTTTATTGGGATAATCTCTTGTAACAACACACACACTTTATCTTGTCTTGGACGTTTCCTCCATCATATAAAGAAAGTAAGAAACAAACCTGATATTACAATCTGTAACTCATAATAGTCACAGTACTAATACCATGTACAATATGATGTTACCATTGTACTTTGCATTTTTTGTATTAATATCTCAATACATGAGAGATATGAAGATATTGGACACATACAATTTGAACCAGTCTTGAAAATTTTAGAATGCTAATTTCTTGTAATAACATAAACATATTAACTTGCCTCATACGTTTCTTCTGTCATAGAAAGAAAGCAACAAGTAAATCTGATATTAAAATGTTTTATTTATTTTATTCACAGTACCAATAGTTAAGCATTTACAACACGATGTTACCTCTTTGCCTGTACTTGTATCAATATGTTGACATATGAGAGACATGTACATTTTTTGACAAGAATGCTTTCTTTCCTGTACACCTGTTACTGTAGTCTTGATAATTTTTGTCAAGCTAATCCATATTAACTATTGTCTTGAGAATTTTACTATGCTAAGTTTTTGTACCAACATAAATACATTAAATTGTCTTGTACGTATAAAGAAAGTAACCAGTAAATCTGATATTAAAATGTGAAATTCAACGTAATGCAACAACATAATCATAATAATTCGTCTTGGACGTCTCCTTGTCACATAAAGTAAGTAAAAGGAAATCTGATATCACAATGTTTTATCTATTATATACATTGTATCTAATACACTCAAGCATGTATAATGCGATGTACCTATTTGTCTGCATTTTGTGTTATGGGCTTCTGGCCTAGAACTACAGAAATAAATCTGTCTGTCTGTCTGTCTGTCTGTCTGTCTATGTTTTACAGGGTGATCATAAGTATGTAAGAGCAATTGTCTAATATTATTAGTAATAATTATAATAGTAGTCATGGGATAATAGAGACATTTATTACAAACCACACCATTAGCATATTACCAGCTTGTGATCACTGGATTGTCTGGTCCAGCAGTCATATAAACTAGAATGTTATAATGTTTGTTATCATGTCCTTCTACTCCACTGTTTGTATTTCAGGCTTTCAAATCAATGATGGTCTCACAGGAAAGGATTGCTGCTTTTCGAAAGGCCCACAGAGGAAGGGAGCCAACGCGGATGCTTATGTCGCAACATGCAGGACGGTCTTGAAATTGGACATTTAGGATAAACGTACTATCTGCAACATCCCAAGTGTCTAGAAGTAGAGACTGGTTAGGGCGTGGCGGTTCTATCCTGTTTAGAAAATACGAATCATGCCTGTACAAATGTACAAAGAATGTTTAAACCAAAATTGGTGTCACACGATTTCACTTTGGCCTCAGATTATCGACCAGTTTAACTGATTTAGATGTAACACAGAAAGTCTTCGAATGAGATGTGAATTGTTTTTGTTTTAAACTCGTTGTTTCATGGGTACTAATCAGGACTTAAAACCGATATCTTAGCCTTCTAAAGCTAGGGGTGTACAATCAAGAATCAATAACCAAGAGTATTGAATGGTCTAGATCTTATCTGATCCTTTAAGAGCGTAGATAGAGTATGGCATAATTATTTTAAACGCTATGGCGTAAACAGTGAATTTTGTCTAATAGTGAACAGTGGTTTTGTTTTTTTAAATTCTATCAAATTATCTCAGTTAGTGTATATGGTAAACGTCATGGATATACAAGGTATTCACCTTTCAAAACAACAAAAGTAGGCTTTGATAAGCTGAAGTTCATATCTAATACAGCGCTACATTCATGGACATTCGAAATACTGCTATTTGTTTCTGGTCACATATTTTTCTATACCTGTAGTATCCCTAAAATGCTTCTCGGTAGAATCTGCTGTTTTGGATAATTGAAATGCAGACATATCTTATACCGGACAAAATGACGTCAGCGAGTGGTAATTCCTAGTGGTATTGCTAAGTGCAAGACAGAACTATCTATATCCTAGTCATAAAATTATTTTGTTGGCTGTAATTGTCTAGAAAAATGAAATAGAAATTGATGCTTCCTGAAATACGTTAAAGGAAAATAAACTATGTTCAATTCCCAATATGTTCAGTTGTTACTCGGACTGGTAAAACTGCCTGGACACTATATACACAGAATCAGTGGCGTGTGTATTTAGTCATCGTTGTAAACTTCAGTCATAAAAGTCAATACCAAACATCCATCAATGTCAACATCAATATCAAATGTTCATCAATATTCATTAATTCATCAACCGATCATATCGTCAGATTTGTCATTCGGCACATGTGCAAGACAACAGAACAAAACAGAGTTTATTACGTATGTTTTGGTTATGAGACCAATAGTACCGCGGTCATAACATTTTTATAATGGTGCAATTAACAGAGCGCTTAGTGGTTTTACACAATATCTAAACTTAAACATTTTTCATTAAGAGCTAGCTTAAATAATATAACAGTTCATCATTGTGTGTAGTGTGGTAATTAAGGATATAAACGTATACATTGATGTGCAGTTGTAATATTAATAGACATATTAGCATTACATGGTATTCATCTTCTTCCTCTGACATACAAAATTGACATAAAGCGTCAGTAAAATCTAGATCTATTGATTTTAACAATCATTTTGAGCATCTAAACTTCGTTAAAGCTTTTCTTAAATTTGATGGTTGAATTATCCTTTCTCAGATTGCAGAAGATACATTGCAG